TTTTGTTAATGTTATTTATATATTTTTATTATGTTCCTTCGCATCCTTCGTCCATTCTAAGTTCAAGTCACACACAATTCAGACAACACCTTTCGTTATTATTTTGTCCTATAAAAGTGTTCATTCCATCTTTTTTCAAATATAATGTATTGTTAGCGTATTTTTGAAAAGGTCTGATTTTAAAACGTAGCTTGAACCTGTTTCTTTTTCCCCTCTTCCGCTGAATGTAAACACAAAAATACTATCTTGCTCAGAAAATGTTTAAATGTGACGTATTCAGAGCCTGACTTGGTTTTACGTCATATCGGTGCGTTTGAGGTCTGTTAATATTGTTAATGTTGGGTCAGGATCCGCACCCAAGAGGAGAAACTTATCATGTTTATGAGACAGTCACTATGAATAATTATCCCCGAATATTTCAACATTTGAAATTACGCTGAAATTAAGACTTCTGAATTTATACTTTTTAGTTTATAGTATTGTATCTGACTCATTTATGACCAAGTTGTAGAATATTTTGCTTTACTTTACTTTATTATATTATTTGACTTTTACTATAGCTACCTTATTACAATCTGCAGTATACACTATTTATTATGAACAGTAGTCTGCCTCTGCTGTTTTATGTTTTTATGTTAGTCTTATATTTTGTTATGAAAGTGCTGCGTATTCATTCCCTAAATATGACAAAGTATTAATAAAATAAATAAATAACTCCTTTACAATGGTAATCTATTGTATTATGTTTGTATTTTTTTCAGTGTCAGAACAGCTCTTGATCCAAAATGGCTGGTTTTGCAGCTTTCCTAGTTCTCTGTGGCTGCACGGATTATGATTGTCACCACAAGGGTGCGCTGCTCCACTGTCTGATTTATTTTCTCGCCTGACGAGAAGTTATTTGAAAATAAATTTTTGAGTCTGATTGACCCACCCCAAGCGCGCGGGAAAAAAACATTTCTTCGGGTCAGTGTGACCCCGAGGAGAGCGTGAGGGTTAAGTCAACATTCTGCCCCTGATTTTGTGTGGACTCTACAGACTGACTAGACCCATCAGGTGTTTCCTCTTCTACATTCTCTTGCACTGAAACTGAGAGCTGCTGCGCCAGGTTCTGAACAGCACGCTCCTCAAAGCCCTGCTCCAGACGTTGGAATTCCTGTATTTTTTTATTTGTTTTTTTTCAATAATGACATACAATTCTGTTACTGTAAACACTAAAAATATCATTTTTATTTAGTCTTGTTTATTTAAATAAATGCCATCCATCCATTTTCTTCCGCTTATCCAGGGCCGGGGGCAGCAGTCTAAGTAGGGACTCCCAGACACGTCCTCCAGCTCCTCCGGGGGAACCCCGAGGTGTTCCCAGGCCAGCCGAGAGACATAGTCCCTCCAGCGTGTCCTGAGTCTTCCCCGGGGTCTCCTCCCGGTGGGACATGCCCGGAACACTTCCATTTAAATAAATGTTTAAATTAATCCCAACAAAAATACAAATTAAATTACCTGCGTCATCATCGGCGAGGCCGATGCAGTATCGTGTAACAATAAGAACAGGTGACGTTTATTACAATCATATCCACAAAACTTTTGCAAACTCGACGGCAATTAGTGCGCGTGGCAGGTGTAACTGTCCGTGGTGCTGAACACCAAATTACACACATGAACCAACTGTGTGATGTAGCCTTAAACAGAGAAAAATACAACAAAAGAACTTCCTCCTGTGTTCTAAAGAGAAAGGCCGTACTCTCTTTTTCATATTGTTAGTCTTCGCTCATCACAATAGGGACATGCTCAGATAAGCTGCATCTAACTCAGTGCTGTAACAGTTGTAGTTTTGCACAAAGAAGGGAACAAAGTGTGTCCACGCAGACAGAACCAAACCGAGCCACTCCACGTCATGTGCTCCACAGAGCTGCAAACACGCTCGTACCTCTGTCCTCAGCCACGGCGCTGTGATCCTGACAGTTTGTAGGTGCACTTTTTACACTTTTAAACAGAAAGGCTCTGTGAGCAGGAGTAAATGATTACATAAAAATCCTGTTTCACCTGGTCCCTCCCTTCACCTTTGTTCAGACTCACCTGTGCTCTCAGGTTTTTTATGCCTGGCCAAAGCTGACGCACTAACGTAGCAGTAATGTAGATAACATCTAGAGGTGATATGTGAAAACAGGGTTATAATTATATATATATATATATTTAATAATATAATAATAATAATAATATTTAATTTAATTGTTTTGTCACAAACATATTTACCACTTCGAAGTAATTATTGGAACATTTATGTGTCCATTAAATTTAATTTCAGTTTCCCTACAACAATACATTTCTACTTTTCTAATTTTATTTATTTATAAAGGGACAACACATTCATGAATATTTAAAATGTAAATATGTTAAGATTAAAGCCAACGTGGCTCATTTCCATCTTCAGTCCCTCAGCAAGTTGATGTCAAATAGAGGAAAGGGAAAAGTACAGCAACAATCACACAAAAGTACACAACCCCAGCACTCGCACTGATCGCTGTACATACAATTAACTTCAGACAGTTCATTTGAAGTTAAAAGTCAAGAGTTAAAGGTGCACTGTGTAACTTTGTCATTGCTCTGCCTGGAATGTTCCACAGTATGACATTAAACAGCTCTACCTTACATTTACACATTTACGGGTGATTTTATCATTATAAAATACCTAGAAAAACAGGCATTCTGACTGTGAGTGGGGTCGCCTCTCCACAGATCTGACCTGTAACTTGGTCTGGTTTGGTCTCCCTGAAAATAGAAAGGTTTAATGCCACACTGTGAAACATGTCCATCAAGAATCTCCATGAAGAAAAGTATTTGACAGACCCTCCGCCAGAAAATCACACAATGCACCTTAAATTTGTACTTTTTTCACGTTGAGAGAACAAATTTTATTGCACTTGACATAAGGAAAATGTACAGAGGCCGAGAGGGGTCACAACAAACGCAAACGCCGCAACGCAACAAAAACCCACAACACACCAAAAAAAGCCACAACGGAAATGACCGCGGGACTCTATTTTAATGCAAACGGCGCAACAAATACAAACATCACAACACAAACGCAAATGCCGCAACACATTAAAAAGCCACAATGGAAGTGACCTCGGGACTCTATTTTCCGACGGACCGATCAAGCGGCAAGTGAAGAAGAAGAACTACAACGTGAAACAAATAATGATAAAACAACAAATTACTTTTACTTACGTTTCCAACTTCTCCGTTCCTTTACTTTTCACGTTGTAGTTCTTCTTCTTCACTTGCCGCTTGATTGGTCCATCAGAAAACAGAGTCCCGCGGTCACTTCCATTGTGACTTTTTAATGTGTTGCGGCATTTGCGTTTGTGTTGTGGCGTTCGTATTTGTTGCGGCGTTTGCATTAAAATAGAGTCCTGCGGTCATTTCCGTTGTGTCTTTTTGTTGTGTTGTTGCATTTGTATTTGTTGCGGTGTTTGCGTTCGTTGTGACATCTCTCTGTAAAAATGTTTTATTCTACTGAAAAATTTGCCAGGCTGGGGCCACCTAGTGCTTCCCCGCAATTTCATTTCTCTCTTTAACGACTAGGTCAGACACTAAAAGGCTCACAAAAACCCCGGAAGTGCATGTTCGGGCACCAGCCAATCAGTGAAGAGTCATACATTCTGTGTTGGCAACGATTCCCGAGATCGAGGATTTAAAGCCGGAACAAAGAGAATGTTTGGTGAATTTCATCAAGGGGAAAGACGTTATTGTCCTTCTTCCTACAGGATTTGGGAAAAGCTTAATATACCACTCAGTCCCGTTAGCAGCGCATTACATACGTCACGACCAAATAGCAGCGATTGTTTAAATTTAAAAAAAAGTACTCGCCTACCGTTGAGTGAACAAATTCTAATGCAGCGAGGTCGGACAGTTTCTACGAAGTGAAATGAAGTGAAACCGGTTAATGAATCAGGCTACTGAAAAGTGACCTAACTGTGAGAAATTCCTTTAAATTGAAGCTATATGTACCTAAAAATATGAACAAAACATTCCAGGCAACATAAAGACACAAACATCTCCATGGACATAAGCATTCGACGGACGCTCCACTAGAAAAGTTCCACGATGCAGCTTTAAATAAGTATTCCTACATACTTATTGCGTGTGTTCTCTGGTGCATTTTGAGATGGTACGACTGTCTGAACCCTTTCCCACACTCTCCGCACAGATACGGCCTCTCTCCGGAGTGCGTCCTCTGGTGCCTCTTCAACCTGTTCGCGCTCAGAAAACTTTTATCGCAGTCGCCGCACGCGTACGGCTTCGCTCCCGTGTGTGGTACCGCAAATGGATCGTCAAGTAACACGACTGGGTGAACTTTTTCCCGCAGTGCTGACACTCAAACGGCTTATGCCCCGTGTGGAATCTCTCGTGTTTGAGCAGCTCCGCGTGCGAGAAAAACCCCTTGCCGCAGTCCGAGCAGAGATACGGACGCTCTCCCGAATGCGTCAGCTCGTGCCGTGTCAGCGTCGCTTTGTAAACAAAACTTTTTATCACACTGAGTGCATTTGAAAACGCCCTCCCTCGTGTGGCAGCGCTCGTGCTTCTTCATGTTACGTTCTCGCTTTAAAACCTTTATTGCAAAACGAGCAGCTGAACGCCATTTCCTGAGAGTGGATTTTCAAATGCGTAAGCAAACCTCCTCGGTACAGAAATCCCTTGCCGCATTGGTTACAAACATGCGGTCTGTCTTTTTGGTGGATGCGCTGATGAGAAGTTAAGGCCGATCTATACGCAAAGCTTTTACCGCAAACACATACATGCAGTTTTGCTTCGTGTTGCGATCGCACGTGGGCATTCAGAGCGGCAGTGCTTTCAAAAATCTAACTCGCAATGTCGACATTTTAACCGACTGTTCCTCGCTTTGGAGCAAAAAGTCCTCAAATGTCTAACAAACGCAGACTTCCACGCGAAACTCTTACCGCATTTACCGCAAAAATATTCACCGTTTTGCATATGCGTGCTTGTGTGCTCCTTATATTCCGCTAAAGATTTAAAAAGTTCCTCGCAAATCGTGCATTTAAACTCCGAGTCAGTCTTGTGCAGTAATTTGTGTCTTTCTAGCGATTGTTTGAAAGTGAAACGGCAATCACACTGGGTACAAAGATAAGGTTTCTCGCTGGTGTGGATGCGCTGATGGGAAGTGAGGAGAGAGAGGAGTTTGAATGTTTTGGGGCAGTAAGAGCAGCTGTATCGTCCGTCAGTATTTTTTGCCACTGCTTCTTGGGTAGTTTTTCTCCGAGTCGGGTTGGGTACAGTGGGATGAGTTAATGTGTTGTTGAACTTGGTCTTGTTCTGGATCTGTGTAGTCACACTGGGGGCATGAGAACACAGTGCCGTCTGTCACAGCACCTAAAGAAAAGCAAAAATACAACATTCACGGAGATTATTTTAAAGAGAGAGTCGCTATAGTGTTGGGGAATAGTGATTACCGTATTTTTCAGACTATAAATCACACTTTTTTTCATGGTTTGGGTGTTTCCTGCGACTTATACTCCAGTGTGACTTATATATTAAAATGTTCACGCTGACAGCCACGAGAGAGGTTCTAGTGTTGTGTGTCAGTATCTGCTGCTCCTGTTCCTCCTGTACCACTGTCACTTGGCTCTACTGCACATGTCTCCTGCAGAAAGAGCCTCTGTCCTGTCTGTATCATGTCAGTCGATCGCACCATTACATCTGTATCACTGAAAATTTAACATTTAAACAAATTTATAAAGACGACAGAAGACAGAACACAAATGCCCTCAAAAAGAAAATCAGATTTTGCAGATTACAAGCTGCAAGTAGCAAAATCTGCAGCTGAAAACGGTAATCCAGCAGCAGAAAAAAAGTTCTAAGCGAAAGAGAAAAGTAAGCGAGAAACTTGTGACACCAGGAGGATGCACCATGAAACTTTCCTTAAGTCACTGGATGGATGAACAAAGCCTGGACTTCAGTGACACCGAAACCATCCTGTCGGGATTCAGAAAGGCCGGAATAATTCTAACTGGAACTGATGCTGAGTCTGACGACAGCGACACAGAGGAGGAAGCGGCGTCTGTTTACCTCTGGAGGTCGTGGAGTTGCTCAGAAGTGACACAGAGGATGAAGAATTGAATGGATTTAGTGATTTGGAGTGAGATGGAGAGTTTGTTAAACTTGTTCTGTTCTGTTGATTATGTTATAGTTTATCTGAAGAACTGTTCATATGTGACGTTAACAGTCTACTTACTATAACTTGACATGAAATGTCGGTTCCTGGTCTCTGATTTTATAAAATAAATTTGACCCAAAAAGTGCGACTTATATACGTTTTTTTTTCTTCTTGATTACACGTTTTTTGGCAGGTGCGACTTATACTCCGGAGCGACTTATAGTCCGAAAAATACAATATGTAAGAGACAAAACCTAAATGTATCAATATAAAAACAAAGTTGTACTTTTACTAATAGCATGTTTTAATAATAAATAAACATACCTTCCTCCTCTTTCGATGTGGCTGTAGTTGCTCCATATGAATGCTCAGAACTAAAGAAAAGACATTAATAGATTAAAATACTTTCATTAACACACTAAAAATGTATTTAGGACCCATTCTGAATATGGCAAGTTCTTTAAAAACTGTTAAAGGTCCTATATTGTGAAAAACTATGTTTACGTCTTCAACCTTACCTGGCAGTGGAAATACATGTCAGTTTTGTTTTTGGTTTGATTTGATTTTTCCAGTTGAGATTTACACTGAATACTTTATTTTACTGCTGCTGATCACACGCACTTTACTTCTGAATTCAATTCATTAAGTAAAATTCTAGGAATTGAGAAACTTCACTGAAATTGGTTCTTTTTTTTGAGTGAGATTCTCCAAAGGAAGACAAATAAACATTGACTTTATACAGGAGTGGGGCACTAGTCTGTAAAGAAATGCTGTTTGCACAACAAATGTGTGGCACTTTTGTTTACATTTCCAATAATAGTGCACTATACGCTACTTTTTAATTCATACATTGGTTTTGTGTTTAATGTGCGATTAATCATGATTAATCACAGGAACTCAGGTGATTAATGCAATTAAGATTTTATTTTTGCCCAGCCCTAGTATAATTAAATACCAACACTACCATCATTACCACAAATAAAAATAAATCGTGCACTTTTATAGGCCAACTGTTGAGTTACAGTTTGTTTCTTACCTTTTCAGTGGCTGTGCGGGCTTCATCCCTCCGTCTTTCTCCCTTTCCTTCACTCTTTTATTCCTCTTTTGTGAATCGCTCATCTGCACCTTCATCGTGGGTTTGCGTTTTCTTCCACTTGTTCTCACTTTCACCAGGGAAATCACTTCATTCATAAGCTGTGGGTCTATCACAGATTCAACCTTTTCAGATTTCTTTTGCTCTTCAGATGGTTCAGATTCTTCAGCGTCTGTAAGCACTTCTTGAACACTGTCTACTCTCTCGCTGTTAGCTTTACAATCCGTTTTCAAATGTTGCTCCAAAGCGAGTTCTTGGGTAAACTTTTTATCACACCGTTGACAATTGTACTCCCCATCTTTTATATGAATTTGCTTGTGTGCATTTCTGGCTGTTAGTGAAGGAAATTTTTCAGAGCATATTGTACATTCGTAGCTTTTTCCAGTTTTGTGCGTGTGTCTGTGTCTTTCTAAAGATTGTCTGAAGGAAAAGCAGCGGCCGCACTCGGTACATTTGTGTGGCCGTTCACCCGTATGAATAACTCTGTGCGCAACCAAAAACGAAGCAAATTTGAATTTCTTATTACAGTCCGGGCAGCTGTGAGGTCCTGAAACCGTTTTAGGTTGCGATACTTGCAAATTCTCCAAAATAGTGGACTCTTTTGTCTCTTCAACAGCTTCATTTTCTTCAGCGTTTTTGTTAACATCATCAGGCAGCACATTTGTAATCACTTCTTCTCCCATTGTGCTCGTACCGTTTTGAGTTGTGTCTTCTATAATCACTTCTATATCAGAATTAGTGGACAATTCGACCTCTGCATATTCAGTTACAGTGACAATCTCCATGGCAACGTTGTCAACAAATGATATGGGGTGTAGGTTTTCGTTTTGGACGTGAATTTGACTTGATTCGACTTCAGTGCTGGATTTTTCCTCGTGTTTTGCTGTTCTTTTTGAGGATGCAGCTGAAAGACGAGAAAAGATGTGGTCGCCCATACTGGAAGGAGGAACTGAGGGAGAGAGACAAAACAGTAATAAAATGTAATAAAACTGGACCAAAACAAAGGTTAAACTGAATATGTATGTAGTTAAATCTAACACAGTGACATTTATTAGATATTAGACTTTTACTCCCATTCTTAAGTTTTTGTAAGTGAAAAATACCGTACCGTGTTGCTCCAAATGTCCCAGTTGTTTATGATGATGGAGCAGATTCTTGATGTGAGTCGAATCAGACAAACACTGGAGAAAATCTTCAAAAACAGAGTTTTGTCCAAGCCATGAGACGGTCTGTTGAAAATAAGATCAAATCATTACATTTGAAAAGTACATTTTGTGTGAAATAAACTACATATTTTGCAAAAACTGTATTTTTTTCTCTTGTTATGTTTTGGTAGTCAGCCTGGCGCCATCTAGTTCCTCCGCTCAATTTCATTTTTCTCCAGCAACTAGGTCAGGAATCGGCATACACTAGATGGTTTGCAAGAACCCCGGAAGTTGTAGACCGCACACCGGCCAATCAGAGAAGAGCTGTGAAGCCATGACGTCAAACTCGTCTTGTCTGTCTGGGTCCCTTTTGTGGAACAGTGGCGCCCCTCTGCACATCCCATTGCGTGGATTATAATTGTGTCTGTTTTGGGGCGTGGTTGGTTCGCATATAAATAGGCTGCCTATCAGTGGCGCGTTCTCTTGCTCTTGCTCCTGCGCGCTCACTACGCACCGCCTCGCCCTCCGCTTGTCACTATGCACGCTCCTTTGTCTTGGCTGCTCGGCACAGGCTGCATCGTGCCTGTTAGCTGTTAGCCTTTTGTGTTTGACCTAGTGGGCCCAGCTGTCCTGTTTTCGCCTTTTGTTTGGTAAGGTTAGTTTGGGTACGTCTTTTTTTTCCTTTAGTTAATGATGTTGGTCCCTGCTTCTACGGCCCTGTTCGGGGTTGGCCCGGTGCCGCATCATTTTGTTCTGTTTGGTCGGCTCACCAGGTCCACCTTTCAGTTGTTACTTTGTTTTTTGGGGCACGGGAGGGGTTTTAGCATTTAAAGTAAATTAAAATTAACTTAAAAATAAAAACATCTTTTACTTTTGTAACCTTTTCGCCTCCTGTGTCCTCATTAATATGTTTGATCCACCCGGGTTGTAACAAACAGCGCAACAGTAAACAAAGCGTTGAGATGGATGTAGACGAAGACAGACATTCTGTGTTGGCAACGATTCCCAAGATCAAGGATTTAAAGCCGAACAAAGAGAATGTTTGGTGAATTTTACCAAGGGGAAAGATGTTATTGCTCTTCTTCCTGCGGGATTTGGGAAAAGCTTAATATACCAATTAGCCCGTTAGCGGTGCATTACAGACGTCATGACCAAATAGTAGCAGTGGTTAAATAAAAAAAGTGGAGTGAATGAATCCTAATGCTGCAAGGTCAGATGGTTTCCACAAAGTAAAACCGGCTGATGAATTAGGCTAACCTTCTTTTTGACATTTTTAACATATTTTGAAGAACATATTTTTACTGAGGTAAAATCTGACCTGGTCTGGTGGCGTCATCTGCTTGTCTCCATAGAGATAAATACATTTGATGCCATAGTGAGGAACATTCCATTGAGACAATCAGGTGACATGCCCTCCTCCTGATCGTGCATCTTTAATTTACTATGTTTAAAAATTCCACTGACAGATCTCCTCACCTGCTCGAGCTCTGGTGGAGGCAGCAGCTGATTCAGTCGACAAAGAAACTCCCAGAACAACATCTGTAGATCAGTGTCAAACACGGCTCCAGACTCCTCACTCCACTCCTACAAACAACAACATACACAATTCAGTAATAATAATCATTTACTGAAAGTTATTTTATTATTAGTTGTTGTTACATGTTATTACTAATAAATAAAGATATTGTTTTTATTTTGAAACTTCTTTTGATGTCTGCCCTTGATTTTGAATTAATATCTTGAGGTTCAATTTTGATATATTATTGTTAAAGGTGCACTAGGTAATTTTTTTGGTTGGGGGTTCATCTCCCTCTTGTTTCTATGGAGATGTCATTGCTCTGTCTGGAATGTTCCACAATATGACATTAAATTTTACTTTACATTTATTCAATTACAGGTGGTTTTATAGCTCAAAAATACCTAGACAAACAGGGACTCTGACTGTGAGTGGGATCGCCTCTCCACATATCTGACCTGTAATTTGGTCTGGTTTGGTGTCCGTGAAGATAGAAAGATTTAATATCATACTGTGTAACATTATAGAGACAGTAAGAACAGCACAGAGAAAAGTATTTGATGGACCGTCCACCAGAAAAGTTACACAATGTACCTTTAACCATCATAAATAACGTAAATGCGATTACTTGAAAAAAGATTTGTCTTTCTTGATCGTCCTTAAGAAGAGAATGAATCAACTCTGCGAAGTCCACAGCAGCTTTTTCCTCCTCTGACATCTGAAAAAAGTCAATACAAAACAGTTGTAGGAATCACTTTGCAAAGAAGATATTTTCTTATTGTAAAAAAACTTCTGTTATTGACATTTACTTCTCTGTGTTGAGTTGACAGTGGTGGTTTAATCTTTGTCAGATGTGACAGCGTCACGTCTTGGTCGTCTCCTTTTCGGCACAACTCAAGAATGAACTGGATCAAGGAAAAGCATGTGAATATAATTACTGTAAATAAAAGAGTCATACTACAAAATGGACTTTTATGAGCTTTTAACCATGTTATAACTGAGTTCCCTCATCTGTAACTTCTAAATTGAATTTTGATAATCCTTTTCTAATCCCGTATTTCCTGCATTTGAGGTTTGACAGAGTGCTCAAACTATTTCTGTTTTACCTTCTGTTTTACCTTCTGTCTCTGTATTTATTCATAAAATGCAGACTTTGAATCATACATGTAGGGCTCAAATGTCACAGCCATTATTCAAAAATAATTGATTGCTTATATAAGTGACTCAGCTCTTGAACTCTTTATATTACAACACACATCTGCATCGTAATTATACTAATTTGCCTACCCCACATTTCCACACAAGTTTATAGACCTCGAGAAGGTTTTGATGTGTCTGAAACCCAGCTGCTGTTTGTTCCACTACAGCAGACATGTCAAAGTCAGGCCCGGGGGCCTAATTTGGCCTGCGATATTATTATATTTGGCCCGTGAGATCATATCAGATGTATTAGAGCTGCCCACCGGCTACAGATAGGCTATAGAGACATTATCTATTTAAAATTTTGGGTAATACTTTAGACCACATATTAATAGCTAGTTAATAGTAAAATGCATAATAAGTGTTTAATTACATCTTTGTTAGTATTTATAAAGTACTTTCAATGCTTTTTTGTCTAAGGCCATGTTTTGTGAATAATAACCCATGAACTATTTTCTTCCCATTAAAGTAATGGAGATTACAATAGATGTTTCTGTGCATACACTAAAATCTTAATAAGTGTTTGATTAATACCAACTAATAGCTACGTAAAAAGCTTATTCACAACCCAGTTACCACTTAGTTAGCAATTAATATATGGTCCCTAAACTAAAGTGTTACCAAATTTTGTTATTATTTTATATTTTCCTTGTTCTGAATTCAATGTTTAAGCAAAACTTTTATTAAACATTTATTTTAATAAGAAAATGTTTAACATTACATATCTCGAGAAAGCATAGAGATGTTGTTGAAATTTTTCAATAAATATTTAGTTTGGCCCACGATATAGTCTCAGTTTTTAATTTTGACCCTCTGTGAATTTGAGTTTGGCACCCCTGCACTACAGGGAATCAGTGATGTAACAGCAAGGCACAAGAACATTTTAAGAACCATTATAAAAAAGGAGATATGAAAACATTATATTATAAACAGCACTGCACATGTTTACAGCAGATTTTTAGAAATATCCAAAGAAACTGAACGTACCTGAGCTCTGAGCCCAAAAGTGAGTTGAGTCCAGTGTTTGAAGAGGAGCAGCTCTGGGACCATCTCCATCACAAACGACACAAACTCAGACACCTGCCAGAAACTCATCACCTCCTTTTTCTTGACGATCTGCCACATCGACGCTGACAGGAGCTGGAGAGGAGGGGCCAGGAGACGCAGAGAGGCCAAGGGCAGAGGGACAGCTGGGAACAAGAAAAATAACAACAATATAATTTAAACTGTTCAAATCAAGGTGAAATTCATGTACTATATCATATTTTTCAACCTTTTTTGAGTTACGGTATATAGAAAAGTAGAAAAGTAAGAGTTGGCTCTTCATATTTTGCAATTGTTGTTATTTTTGTTTTCTCTGATTAGAGGTTTATTCGGGGCAAAATGGACTGAATACAAGAAAACACGATGATCACATCACGTCAGCCATTTTGGTAGGCAGAAAGTGTCTGTATCAACAAGTCAACAGTTATTGGTGAGTTTAAAATTTTATTTTAAAACAATTAAATGCAAAACCTACTTTCTCTCTCACAGACAAACACAACGCAACAGTCAACACAAACAAGCAGCCCCACTGACTTTTTGCCTACCAGCCACTGCACATGTGCGGAAAAGCCGGATGTAAACAAAAACTCTTATGAATTTATTATATAATACAACTACGAGAATAATTCAAATTATTTTTTTTCCAATAGTCTTTAAACAGAAAGTTACCCTTACTGGAAAATGTAAAAATGGGCAAGGTACAAACCCGAGGCACTCCGAATGAATATATTAAAAGTCCTTTATTTCATGAAGGGACGCCAACGCATTTCGACCAGCAAGACTGAAAACTTTTACATTTTCTAGTAAGGGTAATGTTCAGTTTAAAGACTCCAGTTTTAACCCTTGTAGAGCACCCGTACTGCAGTTTTTTTTTTACTCTTTTATGACCCAGTGAAGCGCTCTACCTCGTTTTCTTCATCAAACTTATTTTTTTCCAAGACATTCTCTGGCACACTGGTTAAAAATCAAGGTACCATATTATTTCATTCCACATAAAGGTGAAAAGTTTAATAAATATTGCAATTAGTCGCTTATATAAATGTTTTGTACTTTGTAACACGCCAAGGGACAACAACTGGAAACAAGCACTTCAAATTTAAAAATGCATTTGGAGCAGGTTTTCCTTAAAGGTGCATTGTGTAACATTTGTCTTCATGGGGATGTTACTGCTTAGTTTGAAATATTTCACAGTATGGCATTAAACTTTTTTATCATTGTGGAGATCAAAGCAGGCCAATTTACAGGTCAGATCTGTGGAGAGGCAACCCCACTCACAGTCACAACATCTGTTTTTCTAGGTATTTTTGAGCAACAAAACCACCTATAATTGAATAAATGTAAAGTAGATCTATTTAAAGTCATATTATCAAACGTGCAATGACATATCCATAAAAACAAGCAGGTGACGGGCCCCCAGCCAAAAAGTTACACAGTTAATTAATGAAATAAACACTTTTTTTGTGAAGCATGTCAGAACATCCCCCTCTCATCTTTTACTCTTAAAATAATGAGCTATATTCATAATTTAATCTATAAACTTAACTGGAGTTCAATGCAACGCCATGTTGATCTTGTGCTGTTTTACTATTTACTTTGCATTTAATTACAAAGGTAAACTTGTAAACATAAGTCACTTTTCCTGAATATACCAGAACATTGCTGCTATTGAACACACAGCTGCTCGTAATGAAGGGCTGCATTCAAAAACACAGCACTATCATTGCCATCTGAAAGCTAAAATACATTCAAACACATTGGATGATTTCTTTAACTTAAAATAAATAAACGACTGAATAAAAAGCGCTTATTTTATCACTTAAAACCAACCTTTTGCAGAAGATATCGCTGCTAGGTCCATTTTCTGCAGCGCAATGTTAAAGTTTGATCTTGAGCTAACTGCTATTAGCCTGCTATAAAGTCAAATATCTTCTAAAATACTGCACAGAATCCACAGATGTTACGGTCAATATTTAAACACATGTGCTTCTAATGAAACGATGAATTAAAGGGTAAATTAAGTCACGTTTCGCGCGTGTATTTGACAAAATGTTCAAAGTGAAATATTTGTTTTTATCCGGTTCTTCTTCGTGAGTTGTTGAGCGTAGACTCACTCCCGGTTTCGTACGGCGCCCTCTGTTGGAAAAACGACACACCAGCGTTTAACTTTCGACGTTTAGAAATAAATAAACAAATTAAATATGCATAAAACTCATGGATCTATCGTGAAATTACAAAACTTCAAAACATCCAACTCCAAAAATGAACCAATAGCGGAAAATATAGGATACAAAGTAGATTAACATGGTAAAAGTCAGTGTTTTTTGTATCTTAAAGCTACAGTAACATTTTAGTCAAAAAGTCGTGCATGCTTGGTTTTTCTTTTTTTTTTTTTTTTCTTTTTTTCTCTTTTTAGAAAAACATGAGTCTTTACTGTAAATGGGCTTGCATCTCAACAAACTTGTCTCTTATTTGGCCTGGAGGAGGGCCTCTTTCTGCTTGTTTCTGTGGAAATATTGTAAAGTTTTCCACAGTATGGCTCATAAATCATATGTATGTCCATGAAGAAAGTTCCGAAGTATAGTTTGAACTTTCTATTTCCATGCAGGTGACGTGCCATCCCCTAGAAAGTTACATAATGTGCTTGAACTAGGCCTAATATTCTTGTTATATTTGTTCGATTTTCATCATTTTTCATTAGGCCTAGTTATTTATCTTTATTTATTGTATATTTTTATGATCTGATGTATTGCAGAACTGAAATTTCACCACTGTGGGACTATTAGGCCTACAGGTTATTTTTATCTTTATTATTTGGAGTAAACACCAATGATTAAACTCAAATAAGGAAACACATTAGGCAAAAAAGACTACTATTTATAGGCTATTCATTCATTTTTAATTCAGTTCTTTCTTTTGGGAGTTTATCTCAAATCCCACAGGCTTGTCTCTGGATTAGTTGAGTACAAATCTTGTGACCAGATATTTGCCAAAGTGCACGGGGCTCATAACAGGAAAGTGTAATGGAGGAGCTGGAGACTCCTGACCCCACGGCTCTGGAGCGGCTGCGCTTCACCCACACGGCCTTGCAGCGACTCCCCGTAGACGAGCACTCAGACCGGGCAGGCTCCAGGACAGTCTCCAGGGCGTGCTTGTCCCTCCTCCGCGGTCTACAGCCTCTGCCCCGGCCCGAGCTGGTAGCGGTGTCCGGGTCTGCCTTAGAGCTGCTCGGTCTGACCTCGCAGCAGGTGCTCAGTGACCCTGGAGCCGCGGAGTATCTCAGCGGGTCACGACTTCTGCCCGGAGCAAAGGTGAGAGACAACTTTTTATCCACATGAGAGTATCTACCATTATCTTAAGGTGTAACTTTTCTGATGTAGGGTCCTGCTTGTCTCTCTGGAGATGTTTCTTCTTTAACTTAATTAACTTAACTGACTTGCATTCATTCAATCAAAAGTGTTTTAATTGCTCAAAAAACACTGGAAAACATATATTCTTACAGTGAGTGACACCACCTTTCCACAGATCTGACTTGTAACTTGGGCTGCTGGTGTAATCTGCATGGAAATATACGTTTAATGCGATGCTGTGGAGCATTCAAAGCAATGTAATATTAAACCTTTTCTTATTAAAATAAATGTTTAATAATAGTTTTGCTTAAACATTGAATCCAGAACAAGCAAAATATAAAATAATAACAGCTTCTATAGATGATCTGTATCCAGTAGGCAGCTCTATTACATATTTAATATGATCTCGTGGGCCAAATATAATTATATCTTGGGCCATATTTGGCCCCCGGGCCTGAGTTTGACATGTCTGATTTAAAGCTTAACAAAGTTTATTTTGGGATTTTTTAAGAAAAAATATAAATATATAGTATATATATATATATATATATATATATAATATAGAGCTTGTAGAACAGCTGGATATATAGTTTATTCTTTTATTTCATTTATATTTTTCTATGCCTTATTTCATGTTCAAAGTATATTTTATAAATTTTATATTTTATACATTGCAAAACTCAAATCAATAACAAAGTTGTTGTTTTTTTGAGAGAGAGAAATGCTGAATAAATGCATTATGTAACTAAAAAACAATTGTTTGAATAATCGTGTTTTTAATATTGACCAAAATAATTGTGATTTTTTCCATAATCAAGCAGTCGTATGCGACATTAAACATCATCTAGTATGTATTCATTACAGGTGTTTCTGTTGCTCAAAAATACAATAATTATTTCTAGGGGCGCCTCTCCACAGATCTGAACTGTAATGTAACCTATAGTTGTCTCCCTTCAGATAGACAGGTTTAGTCTCTACCATGGAACATTAGACACAGCAATAACATCTCCATGGAGACAAGCAGGTGATGATGGATCTGCACCAGAAAAGTTGAAGGTTTTGTCTCTAGTCTGATGAGTAACTGTACCTGTCTCTGTCTCTCTGTCCTGACCTCAGCTGGTGGCACACTGCTACAGCGGGCATCAGTTTGGGCAGTTTGCTGGGCAGCTTGGAGACGGAGCCGTCGTGTGTTTAGGAGAAGTCCAGGAGAAAGACCAGAGCTGGGAGATACAACTGAAGGGAGCAGGGACCACACCGTACTCCAGGTAAACTACGACTGTCACTGTGGAAATGTTGTGAGCTAATGAAATATTTCGCTTTCCAAAAAAAAAATCGACCTGAGCTGAATCATGCCTGAGCCAATCAGCAAAAGACCTGTAATCATGTCAATTGCATTGAGTGACTAAGTTATCAAATCCATAGTTAATTTGGGTTTGGAGAGCAGAGCGGAGAGAGTCTCTCAAAGTATAAAGACACTAGACGAGACAGAGACACCAAGCAAAAGCAGCAAGATAAGACAGAACAGAAAAGCATAATGCAAACCACTGTTCATTTTGGCAGTATAATTACAATAACTGAATAAATATTTATCTAAATGTTTGCTAATTCTTAAGGTATGATAAAATTAAACAGTATTTTAAACAAGAATAATAATACAACATATAATACAACTGGACTGCATGAAAACCTGCCTCTCACCATCACTATACAAGCTCAGTTATTTCTCATTCCTCAGGTTTAATCTTGCACAAGAGTCATGTGATTTATGTAGAAGCTCCTTATGGAATTAACACATTTGCTGCATTTCTGACTTCTGTTATCGAGCAGCTCAGGACTTGGTGCTTCTATCCCAGTCAAATCCACCAACCAAACCTAAAATACCTCACTTTTAATCTTTTCCTGTTTAATAAAATCAATTGGTCTTAATATTCTATGACTACGAGTGTAGAACATTCCTGCCTCTGGTTTTGATAAATCATAAAATAGCAGTAAATGAGTAAAAGAAATAAAAGACAACGAGAACCACACTAGAGCCCTGCACTCCGTGGGACCCGACGCAAAACAGTGCAACGCGGGACACATTTTGAAAGCTCATTGCGGCACGGGCAGGAGCGGGACTTCACAATGCAGGAGCGGATGGTGAGATAATAAACTACAGTCCCGCAAACTAAATATGAGAGTAAAGTAAAATATACAAATGATTAATGTTTGCCTGTCATACATCATTTGTGCTGGATATTTTATTTGGCATTAATAAAAACATTTTAAGCAGCCTAAACTTGTGGATATGGTCTTATCACACACACTTTTTAGACAATTCCTTTCCGCTTCTCCATGTTTGATGGAGCTTAAGAAAGGGAACGTCCCTGTCCCATGGGATTTGCGGGCGGGTGTGGGACTGAAAATTCTGTCCCGGGCAGACCTCTAGACCACACAAGTAGTGCACAGAGTAAAAGTGGATCTTAAAATGAGACTTAAAACACTCCACTGTGGGGGCTGTTCGGACGTGGTGGGGCAGAGCGTTCCAGAGTTTAGGGCGGACTACAGAGAAGGTCCTGTCCCCCTGGATTTTAAGACTCAGAGCATCAAAAATGAAAATTAAACTTGTAAAACATGTAAATAAGTAGTTTCCAGTGAATAGAGCATTTTCAAAACAGTAAAATGTAACACAGTGACCTAAATATGTTATGTGTCGTCAGTTAATACCCCATAAAAGTGTAATACTCCGTCTTTAACCACTTCTGTCGTTTGTGTTTCAGAGACGGGGACGGGAGGAAGGGTCTCCGCTCCAGTGTGCGTGAGTTCTTGTGCAGTGAAGCCATGGCCGCTCTGGGCGTCCCCACCACCCGCGCCGCCTCCGTCGTGACCTCTGACCTCCGCGTTCACAGGGACCCAAACAAAGACGGCCGCCGTGTGTCCGAACGCTGCGCCGTCGTCATGAGAGTCGCTCCGTCCTTTCTAAGGTATAAGCTTTTTTCTCTATTCTTTAACTATTTTCTTCATTATTTGTCTCCAAAACCAAAATGAAAAAAAAAAACAAAAAACAGATAACGATTTGTTTTTCAGTTTTCAATTTTGTGGTTAAATGAATAATCGAAAAACAGAAACATCTCCATGGAGACCCCCTAACTGAAAAGTTACGTAGAAAGAAGCACTATGTAACTTTTTGAGGAAGGGTACCAGCTTGTTTCTTGGTGATGTTGCTTTGCCAATGCTTTTAGAAAACTAGCTAGCCTATTATTATTATTAACTGACTGGACAAGAACTACACCAGGTCTAAACCAAGCCTTTAAAGATGCACTATGTAACTTTTTTAGAGAAGGATCCACCTTTTTTGTTTACATGGAGTTATGATTGGACAGACAATAAGGTGTTAGAATTTTCTGTAGTTACTCAGGGTATCTTTAAAGTTAGGTTCAAGAAACATAACTACTTTTTTGATCTAAATCAAAGTTTAATTCCTTTTGTTCGCATTGCCGGCAGTAAGTCAGACCTGTTCCCGGTGCATGTTGGACTCCGCCAGGGCTGCCCTTTGTCACCAGTTCTGTTCATTGTATTTGTGGACAGAATTTCTAGGTGCAGTCAGGGGCCGGAGGGGGTCCGGTTTGGGGACCACAGGATTTCATCTCTGCTGTTTGCAGACGATGTTGTCCTGTTGGCTTCATCGAACCAGGACCTGCAGCACTGGGGCGGTTTGCAGCCGAGTGTGAAGCGGCTGGGATGAAGATCAGCTCTTCTAAGTCTGAGGCCATGGTTCTCGACCGGAAAAAGGTGGCTTGCCCTCTCCGGGTGGGTGGGGAGTTTTTGCCTCAAGTGGAGGAGTTCAAGTATCTCGGGGTCTTGTTCACGAGTGAGGGGAGGACGGAACGTGAGATTGACAGGCGAATCGGTGCAGCTTCGGCAGTGATGCGGTCGCTGTATCGGACCGTTGTGGTGAAGTGGGAGCTGACCTGAAAGGCGAAGCTCTCGATTTACCGGTCAGTCTTCATTCCTACTCTCACCTCTGGTCATGAGCTCTGGGGAGTGACAGAAAGGACGAGATCGCGGATACAAGCGCTTGAAATGAGTTTCCTCCGCAGGGTGGCTGGGCGCTCCCTTAGAGATAGGGTGAGGAGCTCAGTCACACGGGAGGAGCTCGGAGTAGAGCCGCTGCTCCTCCACGTCAAGAGGAGCCAGTTGAGGTGGCTCGGGCATCTGTTCCTGGATGTCTCCTGGACTTCTCCCTCGGGAGGTGTTTTCGGGCATGTCCCACCGGGAGGAGGCCCCGGGGAAGACCCAGGACACGCTGGAGGGACTATGTCTCTGGTCTGGCCTGGGAACGCCTCGGGGAGGAGCTGGAGGACGTGTCTGGGGTGAAGGAAGTCTGGGAGTCCCTGCTTAGGCTGCTGCCCCCGCGACCCGTCCCCGGATAAGCGGAAGAAAATGGATGGATGGATGGGCTTGTCTCCATGGAAATATTATTGCTTTGTTTTGTATGATATGATGTCAAATGTACCTTTTTAAGTGTTTATAGCACAAAAATACTTTCAAAATCATGCATTTTTACAGTGAGTGGACTCACTTCTCCACAGGTCTGAGCTATAACTTGACTCACCTGCTTGTTTCCATGGAGACAGAGTTTATTGCCTGTGCCATAATGAAGATGAAGGGCGTAGGTTTGGTCTTAGCTTTGGTGGACATTATCAATGAAGTGATTAATAGATAATATTGTTTACTTTTCGTATTTGAAAAAACCAAGCAGCACGTCTTGATAAGAAAGGGTAAAATGGGATAAGAAGTTGTTTTATGAATTCTTTCCAAAAACACACAGAGTCTGGGCAGGTCCAAAATAAGTGAGAGGTGGTGTAATTTTTCAGTTTGTGTCCATTGTCCTTCTAAGATGATTGTTTAGTGGATAACAGCGATGTAGAAATTTGTAGCAGATTTCTCTTTGCTTGTTGGTGATGAGATATTTGTGAGTTCATGTCTGTACATTTTTCCATGGAACATTGTCAGTAGAGTCGGGGTCTCACAGTGCACGAGTAAGGCTCTGTTTGGGAGGTGCACTTGTGCTGACAGTCGCTCTTTTTCTGTGGCGACTCATTATGAGACAAGTTTAATTGAAGACGAAGCCGAGTAAGTTCTTTTTGTAAAGTTTTTCAAAGTTTGGTGCAGCATCTTCACTCACTCCTGCTCAAGACACCATCTTCAGGTGCGGCCCTGTCCTGACGCTTCCCCAGTTTAGGCTCCTGGCTCCACTAATGACATCACTCTGTTGCAGCCAATGAAATAGCGGCAGGAGTAACCCTGTTGTCATATCACTGAATACATCTCAGAACGTCTAATAAACAAAATGTGAACTAAAATCTGTTCAAGTAATACTATTTAGTTTGGAAAAATATTGGAATAAATTTATATTTTTGTTTATTAAAATAAAATGTCAAATATTGGTTGGGACTATTTTGTCTTCCCCAAATATTGGTTGTGACTTGCCCCCACTGTGCCTACACAAACCTACGCCCTTGATGAAGAATATCCAGGAAAAGCAATAACATTTCCAAGGTGACCTCTTGATCTCTCCACCACAAAGGTTACACAGTGCCTCTTTAAATTGTTGTATTATTATTTATTTCTCACATCTTCTCTTTCCTGCACAGGTTTGGTTCTTTTGAGATCTTTCTTCCTCGTGACGAGTTCTCAGGTCTTGAAGGTCCCAGTGCCGGTCTTTATGAACTCCGAGCTCAGCTTTTGGATTACGTCATTGAACAATTTTACCCCGAAATTCACCGAATCGGAGACCGCAAACAGAGGAACATGGCTTTCTTCAGAGAGGTATCGGGAATAGTGATCATAATAAATACATAAAACAACAGGTCTCCCCATTCCTAATATTATTTTTATCATCATTTCCTTTCATCATGTTTTACTTTTACTTCTTAAAGCATCATTTTAAAGTTTTTTTTCCCTTTCTTTTCTTATCTGAATTTTTCTAGTACAGAAAAGTATTTTAGTTCACTACTAGCAAATTCTAGATCATAAACACAACTTCGTCTGATATATTTGTTTGTTTTTGTTGGACCGTTATATTCCTGTGATGTGCTGCAGGTGGTGGAGCGGACTGCGCGCCTCGTGGCTCAGTGGCAGAGTCTGGGCTTCTGTCACGGAGTTTTAACACAGACAACATGAGCATCCTCGGACTCACGCTGGACTATGGGCCCTTCGCTTTCATGGACAGGTCAGTAAAATAACACTGCATTTAATGACATTTAATTACAGCTGCTATGACGGATTTGATTTTTCTTCTGCTGTTTTTATCTTTTGTATGTGAAGCACTTTGTGACCTATGTCTGTGAAAAACACTTTATAAATAAACTTTACTTACTTACTTACTATGGGCCTTAGGGTGCATCATTTGCCCCAGTGTCAGAAATTCAACTTGTGCCCAATTTTAAAAAGTGACAATACAAATTAAAAGAAAAGCTGTGGAATATTTGCTCAATTGAATAATTTCTACTGGGTCCACCAACCCTCTTAAGTTCCATCCAAACGTTGTCCATAAGGCTCTGCAGAAAAATCAGTTTTTCTTAAATAACGTTAAAATGAATACATTTAGGGCCATGGTGTCAATGAAAGTTCAATATAAATGTTGCTATTGTGCATCTTTTTAAAAATTTTATATCTCTATCTTCATAATTTTCTAAGATATGACAATTTTGTCAAGGTTTTTTTCATAATTATCCAATATCCACAAAGGCCAAATATGAAATGAGAGACATAAAGTTTGTTGTTTCTGTAGTGATCATAAACTGTATAAAAAAGTGGAGTAAGTGAGTGTCACGTCACCAGAGCGTCTCAATGACAGGTACAGCTCAGGGTTTGGTAAACCCAAGTTTCCAGAACGGATATGGATGTTATTAAAGAAAAAAAATATTTTTAGCTCAGATTTAAGGCTTCTGCAGTACTAAACTTCAGAGGCTTGGTGGACCCAGTAAACATCAATAGAATTTCATGAAATTTCTCACAGAAGTTTACATTGGCAGGTGCAAAAAAAATGACACTAGGTACAGATTGATTTTCAATTTTTTTTCTAAAAAGTTGGGTAAATGATGTATCCTAATGGTGATTAGGGTTTACATTTGTCACTGTTGGGTCCCGGTTTGAGCCCAGTTTAGTCCTGATGGGAGATCTGGCTTGGTCTTTTCTAGTCCTGGTTCAGTTCTTGTCTAGTCCAGGACTAGTCGAGAAATTAGTCCAAGTTAGTCCCAATTTTCACCTTATGGCTCACCATAAAACAATACAGTGTTAAAAAAAAAAATAATAATACAAAAATATGCCACCTTTTTGTCTCTGTGCTTTGCCTGTAATGTTCCACAGTATTGCATTAAATTTATCTAACCCCATGAGGACATGCAGGTGACCACAACAGGCTAAGTTACAGATGAGTTCTGTGGAGAGGTAAACCTGCACAAAGTAAGAATATAAGTTTTCAAAATATTTTAAGCACTAAGATAGATATGTTTAATGCTCCACTGTGGAACCTGTGGAACTATATACAAGCTGAAAAGAGAGTTAACTTGTCTTAGATTAAAAAACAGTTTTTAATAGCTCAATTCAAACTAAGAAATCAGAAATCTCAATAGATGCGAGTGAAAATGTGATAAACTTACTTTAAATTACATGTAACCCCTCTAGGTATGACCCAGACTTCGTGTCCAATGCTTCGGACACCAGGGGGCGCTACTCGTTCTCGTCCCAGCCGTCCGTGTGTCAGTGGAACTTGGCTCGACTGGCTGAAGCTCTGGGGTCCGAGCTGATTCCTCCAGAGGCAGGGGGCGTCCTGGATGAGTTCATGCCCAGGTACGAGGCTCTTTACCTGGAGAACATGAGGAGGAAGCTGGGCCTGAGGAGAGACGAGCCGGAGGACGCAGAGCTGATCTCAGACCTGCTGCAGCTCATGCACAACACCGGTAAAAACTACTGGGTTTCTGTGGGTTCTAGTTGTGGGCAGTGATCATTTTGAAGAAAGGGTCTATAGAATTTTCTGGCATGAATATTTGAAAGTATTTTTTTTGTATATTACCGATCTGTGTCGCCAGCAGAGGTGAGAGCAAGTCGTTGTTTTTCAAGTCTCAAGTAAATCTGAAGTCTTTGACCTCAAGTCCAAGTCAAAAATCCCAAGACAAAGCAAGTCCAGGTCATATCTCAAGTCACTGGCCCATAAGTCCAAGTCAAGTCCAAGTCGACTGCTTTGAGCTTCAAGTCATTTCAAGCCTTTAAACCAAAAAAGTACCAAATATAGCTTAGAGTTTTGCTATTTATATGACTTTTAAACTAAATTATACCTAAAAAGTCATGGTATATGAATATTTATAAAAGAGTTGTAGAAAAGCAATTTTTTCCTTTTTAAATGCCTTGACAAGAGTGTGAATTATTGCAGTCAGAATAAAAACAATTAAGATTTGAGAGTGCTTAATAACAGTTATTTTATCAGGTAGTCTGCACTGAAATGAAAGGATCATGTTCTGTGTAGTTCCCTCTGTTTTACTGTATTGTACTGTATATTACTGTAGTACATTTGAGGTTACCACATCACAGTACTTCAAGTACATCCAAATAACAAACAGAAGTGGAAGCGACATGTTCCAGTTTGTTCCTGTAAAATTAATCACCACATTTATCAAGTGAAAAGAGAAAGGTATTTTCTAAAAACATATATTATATAGTCACAGGGCTCAAGTCTGAGTCAAGTCCCAAGTCACTGACCTTCAAGTTTTTGTCTATTTTATAAAGTTAAGTCTCAAGTCCTAAAAATAGTGACTCTAGTCTGACTCGAGTCCATGTCACGACTTGCAAGTCCCCATCTCTGCTTGCCAGATATCAGGAAAAAAAAAAAATCAAATCAATTACTTTTACTGATAATAAGAATTGTAATGTTGAGATATTCTTAGTTAAATTGGACATGACTGAGAGTTTGTTGATGTTGTCATTTGAAAGCAGAAAGCAGAATGAGCCTCACTTGAGTTTCAGTGCTCCACTTGTTTTAAACCTAAAATGTCTCTCTCTGATCTGAACGGTCTCTACCTAAACCCCAGAACCTGCAGACAGTCATGAGTCAGTGCTAGTGCAGCCTCTGCAGCTCAGGGAGGAAATTCTGGAGGTTCTGAGCTTCACATGAGCTCTGTCCATTTACTGAGAATGAAACAAATATGGAAGTGTGCTCTGTCTGCAGGTTAAGGCTCTGGAGACACAGATTCAGTTGTGATTGAAGTGTATTTTTTAAACAAAGAGCACAGGCCACATGCCCAACCTTTAATCTGATATTCTCATTTTGATACAGCTTCATGTGACTTGTACTTGAGCTTATTCTGAGTCTGTTAAATGTCTCAAAATGACTGAGCTATGCTAAAAAAAAAAAAAGAATAAATAAAAAATGTTTTGAAAATTAATTGAAAATATTATTTACTGATTATGGATTTTGGGAAATGTTTTATAGGAGCAGACTTCACCAATACTTTCTGTTTGCTGAGCCTGGTGCCATGGCCTGCACCAGAACAGAGTCATGAGTACCCAAAGGAGACAGAGCACCCAGAGAAGACAGAGCACCCAGGGGAGACAGAGCACCCAGTGGTGGAGCAGATTCTTCAGCAGTGCGCGTCCGTCCAAGAGCTGAAGGTGTTCAACCAGCCCACTATGGACCAACGGTGAGAGGGGAACAGTGGAGAACTACTGATAACATGATAACATGATACATCACGCTGGGGGTGTTCTATGTGTGTCTGTATGGAGGAATGTTCAGCAGTTACCATGGTGACACAACGCACACATTAGCAGCCATCGTCCTGTTTAGGTGTTTGACTTTCAACAAAAATGGTGAGAGTGGTGAGAATGAAAAACTGTTGGTTAATGCTTGTGACTATGATGTTACTTGAGAGGGACTGAACTTTAGTTTCACTTAGGTCAGTTCTTTCTGGTCAGATTGTTTAAAATTAAGCTCAGATTAAAGTCTAACAAGCAGATGGAGCAGTGCTTACATTTACATCACACCCTGACATCAGCTGCAAAGGCTGTAAACTCGAATAAAGAAATTTAATACAATAGACATTAAGTATTTTAATAGTAGTAAGTCATGCTTTTTAATGCCACGATACATTTCTACAGTGCAGCTTGTGGAGACATATGCTTAACCCTATTTTTTATTGTTGTTTGTAGAGAATTGGCCATGATTCTGTCCCTGGCGCAGTCAAACCCGAGCATGTTTATGCTGATCGCCGAGCAGCCGGAGGTTTGTGCTCAGCTCCAGAGGATGTGGAGACTGAGGGAGCTGCTTCAGACGGACGATGAAGAGTTAAAGGAAAAACAACGAGAAGACTGGACTCGCTGGGTCCACAGATACAGGTCAGGAGACGTGCGGCCCAGCTCAGGACCAACCAGTATCTCTTCAACCCTTTCCAAGTAGCTCGCCAAGGGATTTCTGAATCACACGTATTGTGCTGAATAAGTAAAATTTGATGGATTAAATGCCTGTTATCATGTATCATTGATGCCTAAATTTGTACACTAATAAATGGATAATGGTTTATATTTTATAGGTATCTAACCGCACCCCAATTTACTCAATTTATTGTGACCGCTAAAACTAGGAAGAAGGAAAAAGGTTGGAGACCCCTGCTCTAGAGTGTGATGATGTAAAACTTCCAAGTGGAGACAAGAGCCAGTTTTCTGCAGTGGAGGACGAAGTACTAGAGTTAGAGTATTTATTTATAGAGTATTTTGTAACTTGTTATATACCAAAGTAATAGTATCACATGAAAAAAATCTACTGAAGTAAAAATATTGAAGCACTTGTTTAAAATGTACTTAAAAAGTAACAAGTAGGAGTATTTTGAGCAGATTTTGGGGTCTCATAATGCTTAAAATGTAGAGATTTTATGCTGAATTTTGTTCAAGAAAAATAATTTAATTACATTTGTTTCTATCTGTTTTTAGACACGTCATCGATAACATCAAGAATCACATAACACCACTTAAAAAATCCCCACGACACCAATGAGCACATAGCTAAACTGGTAGCTGCTACGTTCCTAATAGGAAGCGAACATGGGGTGGGGGCTTCCAGCTCCATCGACTCTGTTTTAAATGACTTAACGTAAAAAAAATAAATTCACCACTCCCTCGTTAGTTTGGTCTTAAAATGTTCATATTAACCCACTCTACATTTCGCTGTTTTATCTGTAAATAAATTCCTTTGCTTAATGGCCCTGGCTCTAAATTCGGCCCATAATTTGCGGCCTCGATGAGCTTAATTTGACTGGAGCCGAATGCTGTGGGTGACGTCACACTCCCTTAGTCCTCTTCAGGTGTGACTTAGTGATAAGGAATAGCAGTGAATCCACTTTTTGGGTTTTTAAACATATAATTATTTTTAGACAATGATTTCTCTTAAAAATAATCTGATTAAACATTAGTGACCTTTACCTGGCACATATGCATTAAATTATATTGCTTTAACTAGAATGTTCCACAGTATGGCATTAACAGCACGTAGGACGCCTATGAAAAGACAACAAATCTTACAGTATGAAATAAAAACACGCATTTCATTGGCAACCAGTTGGCAAACCCTTCACCACAAAGTCACGTTTAATGTTAAAGAAACACTTGTGTTCATTCTATGTGTGTTGTAACAGGAAGCGTCTGGCTCAAGAGCACAAGGGCACAGTGGAGGTGCCTGTTGTTATGGAGGAGAGACTGAAGATGATGAAGAAGTCAAACCCTCGAGTGGTCCTCAGAAACTACCTGTGCCACAGAGCGGTTCAGGCGGCCGAGAGCGGAGACTACACAGAGGTCAGAGAGGGGCTGGTCTGTCGGGGGTGGCAGGTGCAATATGTGAATCCATGGAAATACAGAGTTAAAACAATAGTTTGGAACATTCTCCATGAAGATAGATACATGTTATGGCATAGTGTGGAATATTATATCCAAAGGAACGACATTTTAATGTCCTCTTCCAGGCCAAATAAGAGTCATGTTTGTGGTGCAAAACCGCTCAGTGGAAGAAACTATGCTGGGGTTGGGAGGTATTCAAATTTTGATACCATTAAACCTTCTGCATGTTACTGGGGTATACAATATTACCGTATTACCAAAATGTTTTAGTATGACTTTGGTAAACTACAAAGCTGCACCGCTGTACGGTCTATGTGTATCTCAGATTTATAATCTCTGAAAAGTTTCACATGAACCGTGTCCTTTAGTCTGACAGAAGCTGAACCGCATCAGCGACACAAAGAGCACTAATAGATTATGCAAATAAGCCATGTGGTTTTAAGTTTAGTTTCTGTAAAACGTAAACAAATATGGCCTGAAGCTAAAATGATACAAATTGCAGAAGTTCTAGTATTTTTTTGGGGGGAACAAATCTGTTGTGGACTTGCCATCTTGTCTTGGTTTCCCTTATGAGAACGAAACTAATCAAATGTCGTCTCCCCACACAGTTAAAAGAAACATTACAGACACTATTATTTTTAACTCGTGATAGAATTAAATTGAAAATACAACCACACATTCATTTGTGCTGAGCAAACAAATTTAGGGATCAATAAATTATAATATTATATAAGGTCCCTTTTTTTAATGATTCTAATGAAACTGATACCGTTGCTACTTTTTGATACCGTGGGACACCATAATACCGTATTACCGCCCAACCCTAACCTATGCTTTTCTATCTTTTTCCGTGTAATAAACTCAACCAAATCGAAAAAAAAAAAAAAAATCCTTTATTTTAGTCATTTTTTTAGTCAGAGTTAAAACTTTTTAAACTCATTTTAAAGAGATAGTTTGGAATCTTGGACATAGGACCTCATTTCCTCGTGATCCAGAGTGTTGGAGACGTGTGGAGACACTTTTTAAAATATTCCATCCAGTCCTTGTATTTGCAGAGGTCACTGGTGTTAGACTAGTGCATGTCAATGGTCATAGTTTATCCTGCCACTAAAAACAGTCTTACCCACTCCACAAAACACCTGAAGAAAATCTATTATTACACCAGACTGTCCATGTGAATGTCTTCCTTAATGAATCCTTCTTAATCTTTTATTCCAGGTGAAGAGGCTGCTGCACCTTCTGGAGGCTCCTTTCTCAGACTCTGGGGGGACAGACTGTTTTGGTCCTGACAGTAAACCTCCATCCTGGGCTCAGAACGTACAGGTCACATGATCGTCATAGCCCCGCCCACAAACCTGTTTAAAGTGAAAACTAAACACCTAAACCACAACAAACAGAGCTGCTAAACTGGGAAGTACATGGACTAAAGGGGAGAGTGAGAGGGAGAAGGGGCGAGGTCTGGAGGACTAAAGGGGAGAAGGAGAGGGAGAAGGGGCGGGGTCTGGAGGAATAAAGGGGAGAGTGAGGGGGATTAGGGGCAGGGTCTGGAGGACTAAAGGGGAGAGTGAGGAGGGGCAGGGTCTGGAGGACTAAAGGGGAGAGTGAGGGGCGATGTCTGCAGGACTAAAGGGGAGAGTGAGGAGGGAGGAGGGGCAGGGTCTGGAGGACTAAAGGGGAGAGTGAGGGGCAATGTCTGGAGGACTAAATGGGAGAGTGAGGGGCGATGTCTGCAGGACTAAAGGGGAGAGGGAGGAGGGAGGAGGGGCAGGGTCTGGAGGACTAAAGGGGAGAGTGAGGGGTGAGGTCTGGAGGACTAAAGGGGAGAGTGAGGAGGAGGGGTAGGGTCTGGAGGACTAAAGGGGAGAGTGAGGAGGGGACAGGGTCTGGAGGACTAAAGGGAGAGTGAGAGGGAAGGAGGCGCGGTGTCTGGCGGACTAAAGGGGGAGAGTGAGTGGAGTCTGGAGGACTTAACAGGAGAGTGAGGGGGGTCTGGAGGACTAAAGGGGAGAAAGGGGAGGTTCTAGAGGACTTAAGAGGAGAATGAGGGAGGAGGAGGAGGAGTGAGGTCTGGAGGACTAAAGGGGAGAGTGACGGGGGGTCTGGATGACTTAAGGGGAGAGTGAGGGAGGAGGAGGAGCGGGGTCTGGAGGACTAAAGGGGAGAAGGAGATTGAGAAGGGGCGGGGTCTGGAGGACTAAAGAGGAAAGGGAGGAGTGGGATCTGGAGGACAAAAAGGTAGAGTGAGTGGGGGGTCTAGAGGACTAAAGGGATGAGTGAGGGGGAGGAGGGGCGGGGTCTGGAGGTATAAGGAACAATGTGATTGGTCTAACAGGTATCCACACTACATAACCAAGTATGTAATCAGGGCAGTCCTGGGTGATATCATGTAGTACTTGACATGACTTGACTCTTGACTCTTTTTGACTATTTTGAGCACAAAGCTGCAAATTTCCCTAATTTGCTCTAAAATTGTCACAAAAAATGACATGGGACTGTGGATAATGGCATTAAAACACCATGTAGCCAGTTTAGTAGCCAAAAAAAAAAAAAAGTTGATTTAGTGTTTAGTTTCACTTTAAAGGGGCGGCTTGTCCTTGTGCAGTGACACCCAGAGCTCACTGAAAACACATGAATCCCTCATGTGGGTTTGTGTTTGTGTGAATGATGGAAAATGAAGGCGCAGATTTCTAGTCTTTTTGACCTGTCTGAGCCCGAAACTCCGGGAGCACTCACATTCAGATCTCAACATTTTTGGACAGATTTTCAATTAGTTTCTCATTAATACTTTGCATCTGATGTCAACCACATTCTCTGGAGGTGTGATGTTAACTGAGGGGGCTGCTCTGTCTGAAGCTCTGTTACTACAGTCAGCCTTTAATCTGAGCTTTGTTTTAACACAATCTGAAGACCAGAAAGAACAGACTTACCGTATTTTTCGGACTATAAGTCACACTTTTTTCATGGTTTGGGTGGTCCTGCGACTTATACTCCAGTACACCTCCACCTCAAAGCAAAAGGCTCTATTCATGCTTCCCGGAAGACATTTGGAAACATGCGGATGACGACTTCCAGTGTAGTTCCCGACACTGGGCATGTGATTAAACCGTGGATTCAGCCAAAGCTTTCCAAGGGGGATGGGACTCTAATTGCATCTTTAATGTCACTTACAGGCAGCTGGTTGTGTTGTACACCTGTAGCATGTTGTATTGTGCTGAAAACAAAAGAACCACTTGAGTAATTTCTCACTGCTTCCTTCATGCACAAGTTTAATACAATGAAGAGAAGGAGCGCTAAATCCCCCAAGTGGTGCGCGAAGGCATTACCAATCACCAGATCAGCGAATCCCAGGCTAAGCAGTCGATAACAGATGTGATGGATGCTACTGTAAAATAAACTAAAATAAATGTTTTAATAAACTTTTAACTCTTTTTTTTTTTTTTTTTACTGTTTTTAAGACTTATTTAAATTTATATTTATTACAAACCTTTTTACTGTTTTTAACTTATTAACATGAAATCTCATGAATTGTATCACTGCAACTAGGCACAGAGCATAACATTAGGGGCATATAGTACCATTCTAACCTATCACAGTTGTAACTGTTGATTTGCCGAACATAATGGAACTCTACAGTGACATCATTTTTTGTTTTTTATTTATTGAATTAAACAAATTATTATACACACATTAATAGAAATCTAGGTGAAGAAAGCTGGGCCATTTTCTCAGATTTACTACTGCCAATAGAGCTCACCAAAAATCCTCATCTGTTTTGAAACATCTTCTGGTTTTGTGATGTAAGAGTGAACAGAGCGTATTATGAGGAAGAAATGTTATGGAATGTGCTCAAACCACCTTATCAACACCTCCTCCCATTAGATCTCAGAAACTCTGCAGGCCCTTAGGCAAGACACTTCACCGACATTGCCTAGTATGAAAATGGTGTGCACGTGAATTATGGTCGTGGTCGGAGGGGCTGATGGTGCAGATTGGCAGCCTCGCTTCCGTCAGTTTGCCCCAGGGCAGCTGTGTACAACAACTATGATAGTGTCTTACCACCAGCAGGTCTGGGGTGAATGAATAATGCTCTGTAAAAGCGTCTTTGTGGCATATGTCTGTGAAAAGTGGTATATAAATAAAAACTTACATCGGTTTCAAGACAGGAAATACACAGTGGAACATCACACGTAATATACCGCTTAGTATCAGACAGTTTGATTTGATCTTGAATGTCTTTTTCAAGCTATATATATGTTTCTCTTACTTTTTACTTTTTGAAAATTTAGTTGAACATTTCTTACTCTCCATTAGAATTATGGAGAAAAAAAAAAACATGAGCTAGTCATTCATGTACTGATTTCAAAATAAATAAATACACTTTTTTCTTCTTAATACTGTATCTATGTATATTGTATTTTGCAGTTAACTTATCTAAAATTTCTGATACCATTTAGTTATTATTTCATATCAGCTGTTTTATTTTTATTCAACAAAACCAACATTGATTCCTGCCTTATATTGTATCACCACCTCTTTGTCTTTGCTTGCTTTGGTTGACTGGAAAATGCAAACATATCCTTTATGTTTAACCAAAATTCCCAGACTTCTAATGAACCCAATTAATGTGAATTCAAAGACATTTATTCTCTTACACATGTTTTACAGTGTACTCCTGCCCGCCCCTATCATACCCACATGGCAACTGTGAATTTACAGTAAAGTGTTGTTGTTTTATGGTAAATTACTGTGAAATAATTACAGTAAAATGCTGTGAATTAATTACAGTAAATTGCTGTGAAAATATTTACAGCAAATTGCCGTGAAATTAATGCAATTATTAGCCAATAATTTACCGTAATTTCACGGTGAAAATGTTTACAGTGTGCCTCACCTGACTGAACCTGCTTGTCTCTGTGGAGAATGTAAATGAATGACAAAGGTAGTTTACTGTAATGGACCTGTGTGTGTCAGTGTAAAATCAACCAGGAAGTCTTATAGCACTAATTATTTCTCATCATTTAAGCACTTAAAACATTTGTTGAAAATATGTAACTCCACATTTCTTCCTAAAATTTGGAATTGAAAATATTAAGATTTAAGAAAATAAAAAGATTCTAAAATATATTGTAGTTTCTCTTTACAGGGCTCATATTATGCAATTATCTGGTCTTGTGGTTTTATTTTCTTTCTGCGCAGTGTTTTGTCTATCAGTGTTTAACCAACAACCAGGAAGTCCTACAGCACAGTTTCCACGCATCAAGTTGCAAAGGGAGGCTGCTTTTTCATTTCATTTTCTCTTCTGACACTGAGAAAACTATGGGGACTAATTTTCTATATTAACTGCATTTTGAACAAACAAAATGGGGACTGTAAAGGAGCTGCTCCTTGCCACTTTGGAGGACATGACGTCTGATCAGTTAAGTACATTTCAGTGGTATCTTTACAGTAATACTCTTCAAAATCACCCACATGTGTCCAGATCGTGTCTCGAAGAAGCTAACAGGACAAAAACGGTGAATGTTTTTCTAGACACCTACGGACTAAATGATGCGATTGCGGTTACGGTGGAGGTTCTGACAAAAATGAAGCTTAAATACAAAGTGGATTTACTTAAAGAGGAATGTTCAAAAGGTAAGGTGTAATATACAGTGTAATAAACAGTGGTGGAAGGAAACAAAGTGCAAGTAGTAAAATACTAAGTAAAGTACAAGACTTAAAGGTGCAGTGTGTGACTTTTCCGGTAGGGGATCCATCAAATGCTTTTCTTTATGGAGATGTTATTGCTTTGTCTGGAATGTTTCACAGTATGATGTTAAAACTTTAAATCTTCATGGAGAATAAGTTACAGGTCAGATCTGTGGAGAGGCAAACCCACTCACAGTCAGAATGTCTGGGTTTTTTTGTTTGTTTTTTTTTAGGTATTTTTGAGCTCTAAAACCACCTGTAATTGAATAAATGTAAGGTAGAGCTGTTTAAAGTCATATTGTGGGACATTCCAGGCAGAGCAGTGACATTTTTGAGACAAGTAGCTGACATATCCCCAACTAAAAAGTGCACCTTTAAGTACATTTCTGGATACTTACTTTAACTGGACTGAAAAGTAAAAGTATTTTTCATTATTATTTGAGACCTGCTAAAAATGCTGCGGGTCATAATTTGAGCAAACAAAAACATTAAAATAACAAAAACAGCTGGAAAAACAAACAAACAGCTGATTCAGTTGTTTCTTATGACGAGATTCAGGACAAATCTTCATCAGATCTCAAAATCTGCATGAAATACCTTTACTTTTTACTCTTTAAGTACATTTTTAAATAGGTACTTTAAGTATCACATGAGAAAATCAACTTAACTTTTAATTTTTTTTGCTCTGGTGTGTGTACTTTTACTTAGTATTTCTTCCACCACTGCTAATAAATAAACAGAAGGTGTAATTTAAATTGCAGTTCCAATGTCTAATAATAACCTTTTATCTGTGTTTTATCAGTGCCAAGTGGCCAAGCTCAAGGCAAAGGTGAGACCATTTAAATAAAGCATTAACCGTTGTACGTACAGTGACTAGAACAGAGAATCTAAATATATTTACAGTCCCTATACATCCCCACTTCCTTACGGCAACGTTAAAACACATGCAACGTTTAAACATGCACTATACATTTTCTGATGGGGGGTTTACTCCTTCCTTGTCGTCATGGAGATGGATAAGCACACTGTGTAACATTTTAGACAAATTAGCAATAAAATCTCCATGGAACCCTCCACCAGAAAAGTTACAGTTTTAAAATATACATGTAAAGTAAATTTATTACATAAACACTTTCCTGTTTACTTTTATTTAAGCATTAAGGAACAAGATACTTCTTTGTATACTTTATATTAAGATAGAGAATGTTTTCAAATAAGATGTGGAAAAGATGTGAACAAAGTTTTTGTAAACTAAAAGTGTATTGTGCACTGTACTATGTATTGTGTATAGAGTAACTACTTCTATATTGCTACTTGTATATCTTGTAACAGTTGTTGACACCTTTGTTTTTATGGGATTGCTGTTACATCCCTTGAGTTTTGAAAAAAGAGCTCTATGTTTCTATAGCCCCGTTTTCGCACAATTAATATATGTATTTATATATTTTTAAGTAAACCTAAAACCCTCCCGCTGGCCCTAACCTTAACCATAATCTCCAAACCAAACACTAACCTTAAGTATGTAAGTTTTTATTTTATTTATATCGCGCTTTTCACAGACATATGTCACAAAGACACTTTACAGAGCATTATTCATTCACTCGGTGGTGGTGAGCTACTGCTCTAGCCACAGCTGCCCTGGGGCAGACTAACAGAAGTGTGGCTACCAATCTGCACCATGGGCTCTTCCGACCACCCCATTACTCATGCACACTCCACTTTCATAATGTGGGCGAAGTGCCTTGCCTAAGGACACAACAGCAGTTTTTTTTTTTTTTTTGCGACTAGCACCCCACTGTGGCTCGTGATTTTCCCAGTGTTTTCCCATCCAAGTACTGAGATATGATGAGATCAGGTTTTAACAAGCCGGTGTGGCCACAACCATACAACCTTAACCATTCCATTCCATTCCATTTTCTTCCGCTTATCCGGAGCTGGGTCGCGGAGGCAGCAGTCTAAGCAGGGACTCCCAGACCTCCCTTTCCACACACACTTCCTCCAGCTCTTCTGGGGGGACCCCAAGGCGTTCCCAGGCCAGCCGAGAAACATAGTCCCTCCAGCGTGTCCTGGGTCTTCCCCGGGGCCTCCTCCCAGTGGGACATGCCCAGAACACCTCCCGAGGGAGGCGTCCAGGAGGCATCCGGAAAAGATGTCCGAGCCACCTCAACTGGCTCCTCTCAACGTGAAGGAGCAGCGGCTCTACTCCGAGCTCCTCCCGTGTGACTGAGCTCCTCACCCTATCTCTAAGGGAGTGCCCAGCCACCCTATGGAGGAAACTCATTTCGGCCGCTTGTATCCGCGATCTTGTCCTTTCGGTCATTACCCAGAGCTCATGACCATAGGTGAGGGTGGGAACGAAGACTGACCGGTAAATCAAGAGTTTTGCCTTTTGGCTCAGCTCTCTCTTCACCACAACGGTCCGATACAGCAACCGCATCACTGCTGAAGCTGCACCGATCCGCCTGTCAATCTCACGCTCCATCCTCCCCTCACTCGTGAACAAGACCCCGAGATAACCTTAACCATAACACTTATATAAACCCTACATCAAAGCCCTAAACTGAATGAATGTTCTGTAAAGCGTCTTTGTGGCAAATGCCTGTGAAAAGTGTTATATAAATAAAAAACTTACTTACTTACTTACTAAACTTAAACCATTATCATTCAAAACATACATTAAACTTAACCAAAACCTTAGGACAAGACTCTGATCTTCACTAAAACCATACAACAAACTGCAAACTATTACTAAAATAGAATAAAATAAATGTTATTAAAAGGTGTATTGTTCCCACATTGACACCATAAAAATGAAAGTAAACACAGGAAGTGAGGTTCTTATTCTTCTTATGTATTTATTTGTAAAATGACAGCACATATGAATGAAGATTAAAATGTAAATATGTAAAGATTATAATTTCCATCTTCTGTCCCTTGGCAGGTTGATGTGAAATCATCTACAGGACAAGGAAAAGTACAGCAACAATCACACAAATGTACATAAAACCAGCACACTCACTATACACACAACACACTCACTGTACATACAAATTAATTTCAAAAAGTTCATTTGAAGCTCAAAGTCAATAGTTGAAGAGTTAAACCAACAACCCCTCAATATAAAAAATGTATTTGGTTAAACATGGTGACGTATTTGACCATTGAACTTTTTAAAGCTGTAGAAAATGCTGGCATATTGATGTGGGAAAAATACTGAGCTGATGCCATAAAAATACCAAAATGAAAGTAAATACAGGAAGCACTGCATTTTTATCTGTTTGTTGAACTTTTTGTTTTACTTTCTCTTTCAGATGACCTCTGTACAGTCAGCGAAAAACTCAAATTCACACTGAAAAACAAATACCTAAACATTTATGAAGGAAACATGGAGGAAGGCAAGAGCATCTACTTGAAAAAAATCTACACAAAACTGCACATTATCGAAGGAGGATTGAACGAGGCGATGAATGAAAACACTATTGAAGTTAACGACATCTTTAAGGCGAAACCAGGCCAGGACAAGCTCATCCGAACCGTAATAACTCTTGGAATACCAGGAGTTGGCAAAACCGTATGCGCCCAAAAGTTCGCCTTAAGTTGGGCAGAATCCGAAAACAACCAGGACATCAATTTACTCTTCCCGATCCCATTCCGCGAGTTAAATCCAGTTAGTAAAGAAAGCTACAGTTTAATGCAACTTCTACATCAGTTTTTTCCCGAAACCAAATCCATGCAAGTTCTCGGAGCGGACTTGAAGGTTTTGTTTATATTTGACGGCTTGGATGAAACAAATTTACCGCTGGATTTTAAGCGCAACAAAGTACTACGAGATGAGACGGAGGTGGCGTCGCTGGATGTGCTCGTCACGAATTTACTAACCGGAGATTTGCTAAACAACGCTTTGATTTGGATAACATCCCGACCCGCCGCCGCTAACGTCATACCGAGAAAACACGTGCAGCAGTGGACCGAAATCAAAGGTTTCACCACGGAGAAGATGGAGGAATATTTTAGGAGGCGCATACCTGACGAGAGTAGCGCTAATAAACTAATTAACCACGTGAAGTCGTCCAAAAGTCTTTACGCGATGTGTCAAATTCCCGTTTTTTGCTCGATAACAGTCACGGTAGCCACGAATAACGCGAACTTGACCAAAACGTTCCCAAGCACGTTAACGGAGATGTACGTGCAACTTTTGCGATGCCAAACGGACAAATTACGAGATAGAAACGATTTGAACGATGTCAGCGGCACCGTTTTGAAGCTGGCGGAGTTGGCGTTCCGTCAGCTTGAGAAAGACAGTCTGATCTTTTACGAATCCGATCTGAAAGAATGCAATATTGACATAAAAGAAGCAGCTGTTTATTCCGACGTTTGCACAGAATTTTTCAAAATGGAGGGTCGAAGAAGAAGAGAGATTTTTACCTTCGTACATTTGACCGTGCAAGAGTTTTTAGCAGCTTTGTTCGTGCACCATTCGTACTCGCAAAGAAAAGAAAATGTCCTACTTGGATTTTTCCAGAAGGTGTACAACAAATTTCTACCAAAATCCATGTTTAGCTTTCACAAAAGTGCGATTGAAAAGGCGTTGTTGAGCGCCGACGGCCACTGGGACCTATTTCTTCGATTCTTGCTTGGGTTATCGCTAAATTCAAATCAAGAACTCCTGGCTGGGATCGTAGATTTAGGTCAAGAAAACAGCGAAACAGCTCAAACTATCGAATTCATCAAGGAAAAAATCAAAGAGGACCCAGATGTAAACACAAACCTATTCCAATGCCTTGGGGAGTTGAAGGATGATTCTTTAGTGCAGGAAATACAAACTCTGGTGAATTCGGGACGGTTAGCAGCCAAAGGACTAACCCCGGTGCAGTGGTCCACTTTGAACTTTGAACTCATGACCTCGGAGGCGACAGAGGAGTTTGACCTGAAGAAGTACGTCAAGTCAGAAGAGGGTGTGGTTAATCTGAAAGCAACGATCACGGCGTCCACAAGAGCTCTGTGAGTAACCGCCATGCGCTTGTGTTTGTGTTAGTTAAAACTCTGCCACGATCAGATTTCAAATAGAGCCGCTAAACTGGGCAACGGCTGGAAATCCCACCCAGTAAGAAAGATGCATCAAGAATCTTTGACTTCCGGTCATTGCGCAATGCATACTGGGAAGGATTTTCTGAAAAAGTGAGCATCAAACAACCGCCATGTTTGTTTTCCCAGTGGGATGCGTCTATTGACAAAGCCGATCTTTTCAAGTATTTTGAACCATATCACTTTTGTTTCTCGTTCTGATATTGTCATATTTTAGTTTTGGGATTCAGACATCGTAATTGTGTGGTTGTTTTGTGTCCAAACAGCGGAAAACGGCTTGAGGTTTGCAGTCACACAGATCTGATGGAGTTCGCAAACAAAAAACTGTTTTCTGGTGTTAGGACATCCAACAACCACACAATTAACGATGTCCGAATCCCAAAACTAAAATATGACAATATCAGCACCAGAAACAAAAGTGATATGGTTCAAAAGACTTGAAAAGATCGACTTTGACAATAGACGCATCCCACTGGGAAAATAAACACGGCGGTTTGATGCTTCACTTTTTCAGAAAATCCTTCTGAAAAACTTCTGGTTAATGCTTTTCTATGACAAAATCTGTGGAAATGTCTGGTGTATTCTCCACCAGCTTCATAAATCTGCCCCATCACCAAATCTTCAACCAACAAGGTCGACAAAGGATAAACATTCTAACATGAAGAATTTATCCACAACTATCAAGGGAAGAAAGACGAAAACTTAAAGAACAACGACGACGCATTAGTGAACTACAGAGCAAAACAAACTTTATGGTCATGAATAAAACACAAGTAACTTCTTCACTCAGACTGATTCTGCAATTAAAATTAAAAATGTATTTCATGATGTAGATATTAGCATAGACAGAGAGATTTATGTAGTTTGATTGTGAGACATGAAATCTGTAAACATCTGTAACATTCGAACTGCACAAATTTATCTATCTATGCCAATATCTACATCATGAAATAGATTTTTAATTTTATTTCTAGAATCTGAGTTAACAAGTTACTTATTAATGAATAACATCTTACTTATGCTATTCGTGGCCATAATGTTAGTTTTGCTCAGTAGTTCACTAACGAGTCGTTGTTGTTCGCCTTTACGTTTTTCGTCTTTTTTCGGGATAAATTCTTCATGTTAGAATGTTTATCCTTTGTGGACTTTGTTGGATGATGATTTGGTGATGGGGCAGATTTATGAAGCTGGTGGAAAATACGTGAGGCATTTCCTCAGATATTTTGCCACAGAAAACCATTTATCGGAAGTTCCGCAAAAGGTCTATACCTGGAGGACTAAAGTGGAGATTGAGTCTGGAGGTATAAGGAACATTGTGATTGGTTGAACAGGTAACCACACTTCAAACCCGTGTAGTGTGTTTGTAATCAGAAACACCTGGCTGTAATCAGTGCTGCGTGATATCACATACTACTTGAAATTGTAGTAGCCACCACTAGAGGCAGCATACAGTTTTTGACCACAAAGCTCAAATTTGTCACATTTGCAGTAAAATTGTTAGATAGGATGTAGGGCCGCAGGAAGCGGGGGTGTTGGGGATACTGCAGTACCCCCTAGTGGTGAGGGGGAGATTTTTTTTATTATAAATTTATTAATAATTTATAAATTATAATTATTTTAAGACCTAAACATGCAGGTTTACAGAAGTGACATTGTTAACGTCAGGTTTTCCCACTGCTAGCTTGGTAGCTGCACAGCACCCCCGTTAAAAAATTACTTCCATTGCAGCTAAAACACCTGTTTTATCCCACTTTCTTGTCAATCAAGCAGTTCAATATGATCAACTATTGCAGGCCTATTTACATAACGGCTTTTAGGCAAATCTTACAGATTTGGTCACCAGTATTTCCATAACATTTTTGTTGACTTAAATGAAACTAAAATTAATAAGGAAATGAGAATATATTTCATGCATAGGCGATTTCATTTAGTCTTATATTTTGAGTTTTAACTAAAAGTCAGACACATCAGGCCTTTTAACTATAATATTATACTGATGATGAATAGTTTCTTTACAGGTTCAGATCTAACTAAAATGCTTACTTTAGTGGGTCTGATTGTGCTCTGTGTTTTCTTCAGGCTGGATGGCTGTAAATTGACTGAATCGTCTTGTGTTGTTCTGGCGTCGGCTCTCTCCTCCTCGGATTCTCGTCTGAAGGAGCTGGACCTCAGTGAAAACTCCATCACAGACTCAGGCCTGAAGAGACTGAGCGAGGGACTCAAGAGCCCAAACTGCAAACTGGAGATGCTCAGGTATTTAAAGAGTAGACAGGTACTGATTTGTCTTAAATGTGCTTCAATTGCATCGTATAGAATAAATTTATTGAATCCAAGAATGTATTTAACTTGCTTTAACACCTGCTTGTTTCTATGGAGATGTCATTACTCTGCCTGGAATGTTCCACAGTGTGACAGCGCTACGTTATATTTATTCAGGTGGTTTTATAGCTCAGAAATACCCAGAAAAACAAACATCCTGACTGTGAGTGGGGTCGCCTCTCCACAGATCTGACCTGTACCTTGGTCTGGTTTGGTCTCCATGAAGATAGAAAGGATTAATGCCATACTGTGAAACATTCCAGACAAAGCAATCACATTTCCATGAAGAAAAGTATTTGACGGACCCTCCACCAGAAAATCACACAATGCACCTGAACTAATGAAGGATTGACACTTCACAAATTTGTATTTTTTCATGTTGAGAGAACAAATTTTATTGCACTTGACAGAAGGAAAATGTCTTATTCTACTGAAAAGTGACCTAACTGTGATAAAATTCCTTTAAACTGAAGCTATACTTGCCTAAAAATATGAACAAAAACTATCGTATTTTTCGGACTATAAGTCGCACCGGACTATATGTTGCACTTTTTGGGGGAAATTTATTTTATAAAATCAGAGACCAGGAACTGACATTTCATCTTGAAAGTCAAGTTCTAGTAATAACAACAGAAGAGAGAACAACAGACTGTTAACCTCACATATGAACAGTTCTTCAGATAAACTATAACATAAACAACAGAACAGAACAAGTTTAAAAAACTCTCCATCTCACTCCAAATCACTAAATCCATTCAATTCTTTATCCTCGGTGTCACTTCTGAGCAACTCCGCGACCTCTGGAGGTAAACAGACGCCTGCTTCCTCTTCTGTGTCGCTGTCGTCAGACTCAGCATCAGTTCCAGTTAGAATTATTCTGGTCTTTCTGAATCCCGACAGGATGGTTTCAGTGTCACTGAAGTCCAGGCTTTGTCCATCCATTCAGTGACTTACAATTGCACCCTTCTGGTTGCCGTGAAGCTGTGTTCTCCATCCCTGCTTTCCGCCCGTCTCTCACAAGTTTCTCGCTCACTCCAAACTTTCTTTCTACTGCTTGGTTATCGTTTTAGGCTGCATATTTCACTACTTTCAGCAGGACACAAGCAGGAGACATGTGTAATAGGGCACCAAGTGACAGTGACACAGGAGCAGCAGATCCTGACACACAAGACTAGAGCCTCTTGTTGCTGTCAGTGTGAAAATTTTAATATATAAGTCACATTGGAGTGTAAGTCACAGGAAACACCCAAACCATGAAAAAAGTGCGACTTATAGTCCGAAAAATACGGTATACAAAATATTATGCTATACATTGTACATATAGGTTGGAAATACACAAAAAAATCTATAATTTTCAATTCTGAAAACATGTAAAATGTAAAAAAGGAACTATCTTGTATTGTAATCTTTCCTATGAAGAAGTAGAGTTCACAGTTCAAGTGACAGTTCTGCATTTTTGTGGGTATTTAAAAAAAAAAAAATTTAATGATCTTTCTTTCAGATTGCAGAAGTGTAAGCTGACGTCTGGATGTGGTGAAATATTGGCCGAGGTCCTGAGTTTGAACTGGACCAGACTAAGACTCTTGGACCTGAGTCTGAACGAGCTCCTTGAGTCTGGACTAAAGTCTCTGTGTGCAGGACTGAGACAACAGCGCTGTGCACTGCAAACTCTCAGGTACAAAGTGTTTACATCTCACCAACGTGTATCTAATTTACAGACCATCTCAAAATATATCATGAAAAAATTGCAAAAAATATTAGATGGTCTGTATAGTTTTATTGCTTTTTAATCTATTACTCTAATTTGGTTTCACTGTTGTTTAGTTTTGTTTGTGGATTTTACTGGACCTTTATATGTGCAATAGTTCAGTTAGAAATATAGTTCATCGTAAAGTGCTTTTCTCCATTTTCATCACAGTATTTCCTCTTTTGTTTTGGAATTAGTGTCCATTATTTTGGGTTTGTGATTTCCATTATATGTGGGCAGGTATCTGTATATAATCACATCATGTAGACATTCCTCTCTCTTGTTAACAAAAATCAAGTCCTCAAGATGTACTAGTAAATCACTGGTGTAGGGCTCCTTCTACCAGCAGGGAATTATTATGGTGAAAAAAAAAAGCTAAAAAAGGGACAGACTATAGGCGAGTTTCATTGTTGACAAAAGCGCGCGTTGCATGCTGGGAATTATTTTGGTCGGCGGCAATAAACACTAATTCAACATGACGGACGGAGCGAGAAAGCACGTAAAGGGTATTGATCCCGGTTATTTATCCACTCTAACGGCAGAGGACCCAAGACCATTTGACCAGAAATTGGTCATAAGCATCGACGGAGCCAAATCACCCTTTTCAACCCCGACAAAAGGTGGACCAAACCAAATTTCTGGTCAGAATCACCAACTACCTGGACAAATATTCACTTTGGCGATATCCACAATGACTTGGTGGAAACTCCTGGGCCATTCACAGCAGAAAAGATGAAAAACCTCCAAGAGTCTCGATGTGTTGTTGAACTTGTTGGAGTCCACGGTTTGCTCGGATCTTCTACGTTTGCTCTGCGAATGTTTGAAAGTAATTTAATTCGCCGTTAGCGGTTCTTTTCACTCGGAATACGAAAACGAAAACATTTTCCTTCTTCCGTGCTTCTATTTGTGCATTCGATAATGCAGCAGGAATTTACCATTATCGGGGATAAATACACGAGGTTACGCACTGTGTTTGACGCTACCGTGTTTCTTGCCTCTGACCAAAATATTTCCCAGCATGCAACGCGGGCTTTTAATAACAATGACGTCAGCTGAAACTCGCCTATAAAGGCAGGCTCAGTAGTAATGACTTAATGGCAGAAATGCTTTCAACAGTCTGCTGATCATTTCTGGATTTAAAAATTGCACTGGATTTCTGCCTGTGATGCAACAATCCTGGGAGAATTAAGTGGCAAATTCGGATGAGTCATATAATTGTTTACATATAAATACTTCATATAAATATCATTTTTAAAATTTAAGAAAGTCAACAAAATACAAGATGCCAGCATATTTTTATTTGCCAAGAAATAATTAAATAAAATTGCCTCATAGGGCCATTTCAAGTGTTGGGGGGCAGAGGGGCTGGAGTCGGACCACGGGCCTTAGTTTGGTGATCCCTGCTCAAAAAAAAAAAGTCAGTTTTGCAGAGGTCCATCACCAGCTTCTTTCTATGGATATGTCACTGTTCTGCCTAGAATGTTCCACTAAACTAGTCTGGCGCCATTTAGTAATCAGTAAAACATTCCAGAGAAAGTAATAACATTGCCATGGAGAAAAGCATTTGACAGACTCACCACTAGAAAAGTTACACAATGCACCTTTAAAGTTTAGATATAGGTAAAATAGAATAGTGAGTGACTATGATTAATGTAAGGATCATTCTGTCATGTCTAAATTATTCATGCCAGTGTATAACATTATTTTTATTTTATGATTTTTACAGACTGAACCAGTGCAAGTTAAACGACAAATGTGGAGCAGATTTGGCCTCGATTTTATCTTCACAGAATCTGAAAGAGCTTGATGTGAGCCACAACAGCCTGAGGGACAGTGGAGTGACTCAGCTCAGCTCTGCTCTGACCAGCCCCTCCTGCAAACTGGAGACTCTCAGGTGAGAACAAAAGCTACGTACAGTATGTCTGTATATGTTTAGTGCTGTGATATGAGTTACAGCACCTCAAAGCTGATCTCATTTTTTTACACCAAATACCACCTAAGATAATATATGGTCTTGCATTTAAATCAGGATACATATGTGAGTACCAGCAGATCTGAAGCAGGTCTGAAATAGGACCATATATAGGACTTGATATAATAATGATGAAACAAGACAAAAAAGGACAAAAATGCAATTAGTGTTTACTCTGAATCAAATTTCTAGAGGTGTCATGCTAGCTGCATTATTCCATGGTAACAGAAAGTTAAAACCGCAAAATAGACACGTTTTATGCCATACTGTGCTTTATTATTAGCCTGATTCATCACCGTCTGACCATTAAGATTCGTTCGCTCGACAGTAGGCGGGTACTTTTTTTATTTAACCAATCGCTGCTGTTTGGTCGTGACGTATGTAATGCGCCGGAATGATCGGTGGTGTCCAAGTAATTTCCGGCACAACCGCAAACAAAGCAGAGAGTGAACATGTCTGTCAACGTTCATTGTCATTTCTGCGAGATGAACTTGCGACTTAAAGGTGCAGTAAAAAATGTAAAGTTTGTATTCGACGAAGGAAGTCCAAAGGAGGATAGTGTATACAGTCTGCTATGGCAGCTCGGGTTGGTTCAGCTCTTCACTGATTGATCGGTGCATGATCTACATCTTCCAGGGTTCTTGCAAACGTGTCTATTGTATTCTGATTCCTGACCTAGTCTCCAGACAGAAATGAATTTAAGCCGAAGCTCTAGGTTGCGCCAGCCTGCCTACTTTATTACAGCCAAAGGAACAACATTTTCCATGGAGACAAGCAGGAGGAGGCCTTCCAAGTTTGAACTATTTGAGCTGCAGAGAAAAATCTGAAAACTCATTCTAAAACAATGAACCACTTTAAAATAGCTGCTTGGACTCTAGCTCCAAAGCCATGAGAATACTGCCATCTATTGGTTGTTAACTAGAACTTTTTTTTTTTTTTTTTTAAATTAGAGATGTCAAAAGAATTAATGCCCAGATACTTGTCAATACTAAAACTAGATACTACATTGTAAAAGTACTGATACTCAGAAAAATAACACATTTTTAAAATACTTTCCTCCCAGACTGAGCAGCTGTGGTCTGACTCAGAAATGCTGCCCTGTGATTGGCTCAGCTCTGGGCTCGGACTCTGCCCCTCTGAAGGAGCTGGACCTCAGTGGGAACGACATCCAAAACCTTCACCTTCTGTGTGAGGGCCTCAAGAGTCCACTGTGTAAACTGCACTCTCTCAGGTACTGAACAAACATAAATATATCAACATCGTCAACATGAGGTAAGAGATCATTTTGTACTAAAAAAAAATTTCTCTCTCGTCTCTGTTAATTCCACAGGTTAAATGATTGTAACCTTGATGCTTGTTGTGAAGATCTGGCCTCGGTCTTGAGCTGTGGCTCTTCTGAACTGAAGAACTTAGATCTGAGCGGGAATGACCTACAGGACCCTGAAATCCAGCTCCTCTGTGACGGCCTCTCAAACCAACCGTGTAAACTGGAGGTGCTCAGGTAAAAAATGATTCATCTTTAATTAAACCTCTCGAAACAGAAGTGCTCTTCACATCCGTCCCTCTGTGTCCGGGTGCCACATGTGGACACTCGCTCTTGTGCTTGAACATGGAGGAAAAAAACAAAAAAACAAAAATAAAACACCACTCAGGTTCAGATCGAGGTCCCTCCCACTCGCTGCTCAAGAGTCACATAAGGACCGAGAGCCTTGAACTGCAAATGAAAAAGTCTCTGGTTGGAGCCCCATCCATTAGCTGTACCAGGTCCTCTGCTTTTCACTCAGCTGTGTTTGGTGCACATCCACTCAGGTGTCATAGTTCCACTCAGATAACACTTCAGAGATGGAAGATTTGTAGTACCCTCCTGCTGGTACTGCTGGTACTTTAACGCAAATAAAATGTGACGTTCACTGATCGAGAAACATGACATCTACTGAATAACTCTAATCAAATCATGCACTTTTTACAATATATATGCGACTTTCACCTGTTCATCTTTTCTCCTCTCTCTCTCCCCTCTCCATCTGCAGGTTGTCTTTCTGTGGACTCACTGGTAAAAGCTGTACCTTCTTGTCTTCTGCTCTGAGTTCTGGTTTCTCTGAATTAAAACACTTGGACCTGAGCTATAACCACCTCCAGGACTCAGGAGAACTGCTGTCTGCTCATCTGCACGACCCAGCCACTAAACTCAACATTCTCCGGTAAAGGAATATGCTGAAGTGTCATTTTTATGCTTAACTTGTACACTAATACATGCATCTTGAATTTCGGACTTCCGGTCATCGCGCAATGCATACTGAGAAGGATCCTCCGAAAAAGTGAGCATCAAATCGCCATGTTTGTTTTTACAGTGGGATGCGTCTATTGTCAAAGTCTTTTGAACCATATCGCTTTTGTTTCTGGTTCTGATACTGTCATATTTTAGATTTGGGATTCGGACATCGTAATTGTGTGGTTGTTGGATGTTCAAACAGCGGAAAACGGGCTTCGGAAGTTTGCGAACTCCATAAATGCAAAAGGGAATCAGATGTGTGTGACTGCAAATCTCCGTTCAAACTGTTTCCCTTCCCAACAGAATTGAAAAATAGTGAAAGGTGAAGACGATGTGCCGGATTGATCCACAGAAAGGACCAAAAAGGAAACCTCTGGCTGTCTAAGCCATCATCCCACATTTGCGGTGAACATTTTGTATGTGGAGCGCCAACAAAGAAAAATCCCGTTTGTTCAGCGAGCGGTGCAGAAGACAAACAGACTGAGCTGCACTTTCTTGTTCTTGTGGTTTTACAGCAACATCACGTCTTGGTTTCTTTGCAGTGGAAGGTGTTTCTTGGCAAACAGCTGGCGCCTTTCGCTTTAGCGTTGACTTTTTACATTCGTAACCAAGGTTGAGCGAGAGATTGGGATTTTGCTTTGATTCCCATTTGCAGTTATGGAGTTCGCAACCTTCTGAAGCCCGTTTTCCGCTGTTAGGATCCAACAACCACACAATTACAATGTCCGAATCCCATAACTAAAATATGACAATATCAGAACCAGAAACAAAAGTGATACGGTTCAAAAGACTTGAAAAGATCGACTTTGCCAAAAGACGCATCCCACTGGGAAATCAAACATGACAATTTGATGCTCCCTTTTTCAGATGATCCTTCTCAGTATGCATTGCACGATGACCGGGAGTCCAAAATTCGGGATCCATGTATAAATGGATAGTGGTTTATGTTTTGTAATAATCTAAGTGTACCCTGTGTGAGGCTTGTCATGGCTCCTGTACTTTCTCAATTTCTTGCAACCGCTGAAATGAGTAGCTCTCTTGCATTTTCGATTTGTAAAGGAGCTCACCAGAGGAAAAAGTTTGGAGACCTCTGAGCTAATTTATATTGCATGGAAACAAAATTATAAAAATCTTCCCTTTGTGGCTTAATTAAAATGTCTAGATTTTTGCACATTTAGCTTTGTTAGATCACATACTTATATAACACAAAGCTGATGAAATGTGATCTTTTAATTATTTTCCATGTCTCTGCAGTTTGGAGCCTGACGGAGAATGTTATATCAAATCAGCACTGAAAAAATGTAAGTAAAAAAATAATAAAAGTCTTCTCATTTTTATAATCGCTGTCACTACACATTAGGGTTTGTCATACCTGAATTTTTGCATCATAGTTTAAGATTAGAAATGATAAAATCTTATGTAATTTTGGTCCACAAACTTTTCATACCACATCATACTGAAATAAAACTTTGCCGCTCATTCAAGTAGCTTCTTCAGTTCTGACAGAGTTCTGGTTCAGACACCTTATATCTGTCTGAAGAGAGGCGCTAACTACAGGAAACTAACACACCCAAACTGTTTACAGTAAGAAATATCTGTTATTAGTCAAGTTCATTAAATTCTGGAATTTCTTTTTTGTCTCATTAATATTCACAAATGCACAGAGGGTGATTTACAAATAGTCATTGCTTTGTACACATGTTTTGATATCAGCAAATGCAAATGAAATTTTAGTTTTGTCTTTTAGTTTGGTCTTTACAAATAGATGTGTATTTGTAGTATTTCTTTTTTTTTTTTTTTTTTTTCATTTGCAAAAAAATAAAATATATAAATAAAAAATTACACGTGCAAAACTGAAAATTCTGTTTTTAAAATGTGATTCACATTTGTGGATTCACAGATTTCCTCTATGACGTATTTTTGAGACAGTCTTTTTGTGAAAACCACAAATACAGACAGTCTGTGAATTCGTGTAACTGGTGATCCACAAATACGGAACAAATTTTACGAACAGAATTTTCAGTTTTACAAATGTAATTTTTTTTCTTTTTGCAAATGAAAATAGATATATTTACAAATACACATCTATTTGTAAACGACCTAAATTATAAATATTAAATTTACATTTGTTGATATCAAAACACATGTACAAAGCAATTACTATTTGTAGATCACATCTGTGCATTTATGAATATTAATGAGACAAAAATAATTTTGTCCTGGTCCTAGTCCAGTCCCAGTCTCAGTCCTAAACCAGGACTAAACCAGGACTAAACCAGAACTGAACTAAGACTAAACCAGGACTGAACCAGGAGTGTCGGGACTGGCCTGGATGTGCGCCCGCTTAGACTGTTGGGTGATCAGGAAACCGGGACCAAACTGGGACCAGACCAGGATTGAGACCAGGACTGAGACCAGGACCAGACCGGTACTAAGACCCGGAGTGAGACCGTATGCGGCGCAAAAGTCCAGCATCACAGTTTAACTCACGAAAACGGGAAGCTGTTATCCGTTTTTGCCATTATTCATTTAAACAGAAAATCGAAAAATAAAAAAAATGAAACATTATCAGTTTTTTCATTTTGGTTTTGGAGGAAGAAATTAGTTGTTTTTCATTTTCTTGTTTTTGGTTTTATTTTGAAAAATGAATGATTGAAAGATACATGGATTTTCCTGCCCCTCGTGGGTGATCTCACTCTTACTAGTGTATTCTGATTATTGATGTGATTAATTCAATATCTAAATGTAAAACTGCACATAATAATAAAGTTGTCCTTGTGGTGTTCCTGACAGATGCATGTGATTTGAGCCTGAACAGGGACACAGCCCATAAGTCTCTGCTGGTCTCAGAGGAGGGGAGGAGGGTCTCCTGGCTCAGAGAATCTCAACCGTACTCAGACCATCCGGACCGCTTTGAGACCGTGGGCCAAGTCCTGTGTCACCAGGCTCTCACCCACAAGCACTACTGGGAGGTACGACTCATGCAGACTGTTACGACCCAGCTTGCTAGGGTCGTGGAAGTAACAAAAAAAAAAAAAAACAAGGCGGAGAATGGAATAAATTAAGTTATGTTTAATTAACGGGAATGTAAAAAGGTAAATTAACAAAACTAGGTAAAATATGAACAGAAAATAACCCAAACTAAGAAATAAAACAACAGGATTAACATATAACGAGTTTTGTGCCAAAAACGGGTCACACAGGTCTATAAAAAAAAAAAGAGTGATTAAACTAAAGGACACACAACAAAAAATAAATCACAAATGACCCAAAGTAAAACCACGTAAACCCACAAACAGAATGGAGTGACAAATGAAAAAGGCACAAAACAGAACTAAACTACACAAGTGTCTCAACACAAACAAAGTCAAACATGTACTAGTAATTTAGAATTTAGAAATTAAAACACACACAAAACAAGTCAACAAACTAGAGGCCTGGGGCTGTAACACCGGCTGCAAATCGAATAAAGATATTAACCTTATTTGGCTCCGCCCACTTATGTCTCTGAATACGCCTACATCGTGCTTTCTTTCACTTCTGGTTAAATGGGAATTCCTTTAACGTCAAGAGAGAATTTGAGAAAAGTTTTGCCGATTAAATATAACATAAAGTCGATTCATTTGTGTAAAATGTTCAGTTTTCATGTGACCAACAAGTCACACTGCCTTCATTCTCTGGAGGCTTTCAAAAGGCTTTATCATCCGTATTGAACTTATTTACTGTTAAAAGCAGCAGCCCCATACAAAATAATTAGGGATGTAATAATATCCAAATCTCTCTGTACGATATTATCACGATATGCATCTCACGGTATGATATTTATTGTGATATTTTGAAGAGGCTGATATAAATGTAGATGACACTTTTTTGCTTTTAAAATACCTTGACAAGATTTCGGTGTGAATTTTTTCCATTATAATCCCAAGAATTCAAGTAAAATACGTATTTCTTCATGTTGTCTGTGCTGAAATGAATCATGGGATGTGTAGTTTTCGACGTTCATAAGCTGTTGCTACTATAAAACCGTGTATTTAAGCAAAGGAGCTTGTAATTCGATATATTGTGACAGCCCACAGTATTATTATGAGACTTTTGACGATACGATATCACTAGGGGTGTGGATATCCAAGTTTATCCAAGTCTCACGATACGATATTGTCACTGTTTGAACCTCACGGTATGATATTTATTGGGATATGGTGTGGAGGCTCACGATTAAGGATGTGACAATATCCAAATCTCTCTGTACGATATTTTCACGATATACATCTCACAGTACGATATTTATTGCGATATTTTGTGGAGGCTATTGTGCTACTTTTTCGTAGAAACCGTCTGACCTTGGAGTGTTAGAATTCATTCGCTCGATGGTAGGCAGGTACTTTTTATCATTTAACTAATCACTGTTATTTGGTAGTGATGTATGTAATGTGCCGCTGGTATATTGAGCTTTTCCCAAATCCCATAGGACAAGGGTGTCAAACTCATTTTGTTCCGGGAGCCGTATCCAACCTACTTTGATCCCAAAGGGGCCGGATCAGAAAACTCATGGCATATAAACCCCAAAAATAACAATAAGTTCAAATATTTGTGCAGAGAAACACAAATCTATTACAGAAATCTTTTTTAATTGATGAACTCTTTCTTATTATAATATTATAATATTATGAACAACCTGAAACTTTAAGAAAAATTCAATTTCAAAACAATGTTTTAACATGAACTTGTATGCAAATAGGAATAAGTCAGTTTTTCTTGTAAAATCCTGCACTCGGCTCCACTTTTCTCATTTTTGATATTTTTCTGATGAGGGTGTCACGGTCAAGAGTCAAAACGATCGTCCTTTAAGAGCGTTTGGAAAGAGACAAGTCTTCATTTGTGCTGCTCTGGTGGGAGGGGCCACGTACAGAGACACTGGAGACGCTGCTGTGATAAACACCACAGAAAATTAACAATATTTTAATAGAAAATATAATTAAAATATTTTAGTAGAAAATCACCAAAGGGCCACATTAAAGGTCTTGGAGGGCCGGATCTGGCCCCCGGGCTTTATGTTTGACACCTGTGCCATAGGAAGAAGGACAATAATGTCTATTACCTTGATAAAATTCACCAAACATTCTCTTTGTTCTGGCTTTAAATCCTCGATCTTGGGAATCGTTGACAACACAGAATATATGACTCTTCGCTGATTGGCTGGTGCCCAAACTTGTACTTCTAAGGTTTTTGCGAACTGTGTATTGTATTTTGATTCCTGACCTAGTTGCTGGAGAGAAATGAAATTGAGCGAAGACACAGCTAGGTTATTTGGTTTAAACTAAAGACTTGAAATGATTTGAAGCTCAAAGCAGGCGACTTCGACTTGGATTTGCCTGTATTTGACTTGGGACTTGACTCGGACTCAGACTTGAGATGTACTTGAGACTTGCAAAACAACGTCTTGGTCCCACCTCTGCTGTATAGACTATGTACTGACCCCGGCCTCTGTTCAGGTGGAGTGGACCGGGCGCTGGGTGGACATCGCCGTCGCTCAGAGGGGCATTCGCAGACGAGCCGGGTACCACCTGTGCGGGTTTGGCTCCACAGACCAGTCCTGGAGCTTATACTGCTGTGAGGACTACTACAGCGCTTACCACGACGGGCAGAAGGAGGAGATACCAGCCCAGAGAGGAGGGCCTCGGAGGGTGGGCGTGTACCTGGACTGCCCCGCTGGTACTCTGTCCTTTTACAGCCTCCGCTCAGGGAGACTCAAGCATGTGTACACGTTTAACAGCACTTTCACCGAGCCTCTGTACCCCGGGTTTGGCATGGAGGAGGACGACTGCTCGGCCACGTTAGTCAACCCGCTACAGAGTGAATGACTTTGTACGATCATGGACGATAAACTTTGTGCGCACTCATAAGCCTCCAACCCCATCAAAAAACGACTGCGCGCCCCACAATTCAGAGCGCCCTATACACGAATCCACTTCAGTAAACTACAAAGCCGCACCACTCACAGCGCACGCAAACACGCACGGCGAAGACAATGACCACGCAGCGAAAAACACCCGCGGCCACAATCATCACTCCACGCCGACGAGGAACGGAACAGAGGAACGAACCGAAAAAGCGAGTGCAATGTGCCGCTTCTAGACACGACTGAACAACTGAGTCACTGCGAACACGCCGACAATCCGTTGGTCCCAGACAGCACCCTCCCTACACGCCACAACTGAACAAAGCCCAGAGTCACCGTGAACGCCACAAACAAACAAAACCACTCACCCATCACACTGTTGTGTTTCCTTTAAAGTCCATTGTGGTTTATACAGCTCTGGAAAAAAATAAGAGACCTGCAAAATGATCAGTTTCTCTGATTTTACTACTTATAGGTATCGTATTTTACAGGCTATTAGGCGATCTGGATTTTAAGATGCACTGTCATTAAATGGTCTATTTTTGAAATTTTTTCACAAATGAACTGCACCGGACTTTAAAGGAAATACAACAGTTGGATGAGTCAGTGGTTTTGTTTGTTTGTTCGTTCACGGTGACTCTGGGCTTTGTTCAGTTGTGGCGTGTACGGAGGGTGCAGTCTGGGACCAACGGATTGTCGGCGTGTTCGCAGTGACTCAGTTGTTCAGTCGTGTCTAGAAGTGGCACATTGCACTCGCTTTTTCAGTTCGTTCCTCTGTTCCGTTCCTCGTCGTGTGGAGTGATGAATGTGTCTGTGGGTGTGTTTCGCTGTGCGGTCGCTGTCTGCTCCGTGTGTTTGTGTGTTCTGCGGGTGGTGGGGCTTTGTAGTTTACTGAAGTCGTGCTGGGACACCCAAGTGGATTCGTGTATAGGGCGCTCTGGATTGCGGGACACGCGGTGGTTTTTTGAAGTGGTTAGAGGCTTAAGAGAGTGTCTAATAGCCCGGTAAATACGGTATGTTCTTGAGTAAAATGAACATTTTTGTTTCATTCTATAAACTACTGACAACATTTCTCCCAAATTCCAAATAAAAATATTGTTATTTAGAGCATTTATTTGCAGAAAATCACAAATGGTCAAAATAACAAAAAAGATGCAATGTTTTCAGAGATCAGATAATGTGAAGAAAATAAGATCATATTCATCTTAAAAACAACACAATACTAATGTTTTAACTTAAGAAGAGTTCAGAAAATCAATATTTGGTGGAATAACCCTGATGACCGTCCATCTTCCTCTTGATCACGTTCCAGAGGTTTTCAGTGGGTTCATGTCTGGGGATCGGGCTGGACATGAGAGGGTCTTGATCTGGTCGTCCTTCATCCACACCTTGATTGACTGAGATGTGCGGTGTTGAACATTGTCCTGCTGGGAAAAAAAAACAGTCCTCAGAGTTGGGAAACATTGTCAGAGCAGAAGGAAGCAAGGTCTCTTATTTTTTCCAGGGCTGTATGTGAAAAAAGTTTGAAAATAGACCATTCAATGACTGCTCCTTAGAATCCAGAGCGCCCTATAGTACAGAAAATACGGTATTATTGTTAGTTTGTATGACAGTAAACAAATATATATTTTTGCGTGTATGTACTGTATATCATAGATGTGTATGTGTATGTATGTGTATGTATGTGTATGTGAGCATGTGTGTGTACATATGTGTGTATGTATGTGTTTATACATATAAATGCATTTGTTCACATATATGTTTGTGTGTATTTATGAAATGCATACGACAGGTAAGCACTCCAAACGTGAAAAAAAAAAGTGTCAATCATTTGATTATGCAAAACAATTGGAGTAGGACATTATAAGTTTTTTTTTTAAATTCATCCCACTCCTTTTGAGAACCAGGTCCAAAATATGTACATGTACATATCCTTGTCTTTGTGTTGTTGTTTTTTGTTAGTGTTGTTGATTTAGTTTTATCTTGCTCAAAAAAAAAAAAAAAAAAGACACATGCAAAAAATCTAGAGTTGTAACAAAAAAATATGATAATAATAATAATAATAATAATAATAATAATAATAATAATAATAATAATAATAATAATAATAATAATAAAGAAAATTGTGAAGTTTTTTTTTAAAGTTAATTTTTACTTTAGCACTTTTTAACCAGAAAGAGCCGTCTGTAGTTAGAACTACATCAGATGAGATGATTTGTGCTGTTTTAAAAGTCTCTCAAACATAAAAGTACAATCACTCTCACCTTTTTGTTGAAAATCAAACTCCTAAACGGGATCTTGAACACTCGTATTGATCACAAGCCTTTGAAAATATGTAGTTTTTTTTTATCCATTTTGTATTTTTTCTTGAGTTTTCAGACAATCTTAAAACATTTTTGACAGTGTTTGCTAACGTGTGCACTGTGTCTCCCTGGTAACTGCTGAATATTTAACTATAGACATACATGTAGATGCCACTGTATCAGTACTGTCTGCACGATAGTTAAACGTATGAATAGATTAGATATCCAATCCAATCCAATCCACTTTATTTCTATAGCACATTTCACAGACAGTTTCCAAAGTGCTGCACAAATACATAATAATAACAACAATAATAAAATGATAAAATAAACTAATAAAACAATACTAATCTTAAAATAATAAAACCAGTAAAATAAAATAAAACCAGTAAAATAAAATAAAAACAAAATCATAGAATAGAAATAAATAAACCTATAAATAATATACATAAATGTAATCAATAAAACCAATAAAAACACATAAAAATAAATAAAAAACACAGAGGACAACACAACTCACGCAGTGTTAAAAGCCAGAGAATAAAAGTGGGTCTTAAGACGAGATTTAAAACTCTCCATGTGATGTGATTTTAAATATGATTAAAAGGCCTGTATGGTAATATAACTATTAGAATTAAAGTTTAACTACCGTAATTTCTGGACTATTGAGCACACCTGAATATAAGCCGCATCAATTCAATTTTAACTAAATTAAAAAATTTTACATATATAGGCCGTACCTGAATATAAGCTGCAGGTGTCCACATCTTAAAGAACGTTTTCAAGTTCGGGCCGGCTGCTTTTATCGCCTCTGAAAGTTTTTGTCATCTTTTTACATTGAGTCAGTTTGTCACGCTGCCGTCGCCAAAATCTCACCATCACTGTTGTCAAGCTCACGTGCACCAGCTCTGTTTCCTTCTTCAACAGCTCATCTGCATTTCTTCGTGTGTTTACCATGAGGAGGGTTTGTGTATGAAGCGCAAAAACACGAACAAATGAGCATCTTCCTTGGCGCTCGTCTCTCCCGTGTCTTCTGCGCATGTCTCCTGCAGGAAGAGTCGCTGTTCTGTCTGTATCGAGTCAGAGTCTTGGAGGATTTCAGCAGATTTCAGAGTCTCTCGGGGGCGGGGATAGTTCTATCGATCAGGTATGAGTGGATGTCCGGCTCCTGAAGTTTGAGACGTTGCAAAATACTCTGCACAACACTTGAAGTAGTTTGTTTTAAATCGATAAACCCTTTTAACTGAATAAATAGACAGCAACATAAACAGGTTTAATGCCATATTGTGAAACATTCCGGGCGATCCATCTCCTTGGAGAAGACGGAGTGAGTGAAAAAGTGATATAAATAGTAATATTCAACTCATCGTCTGGTTGAATCCACTGAAACAGGATGTTCAAAAGTTTTATGTCATGATGAAGTGTAACATTTGATCCAAAGCAATAAAATTCCCATGGCGACGGACAAGTTGAGGCTCTCCTCCGGGCGCTGTTTGAGTCAAGTTTATGGAGATGCAAGCTCAAACACAGTAAGGAAGTTTTTTAATGCGATAAAAATATCCATAATGAAAGTTTAATGTTTGTTTTTATTTAAGGTTACACAGTGGGGTTGGTCTCATTACTGCACACCTCAGAAGAGACAGGTGCGGTTTTCGCTCTTGGATTGTTCCCAGACGCTCTTGTGTTTTGTGTTTTATTTGTCAGGCCTCGCTGTGACTTTGTGAAGTGACCTCCAGACTGATAACAGCTCAGAGCAGAGAACAGGACCAGTGCCAATCAACTCCACAGCTGAGCCAAGAGACGTGTTTATAAAGTGGAGCCAAAACACAGAGTACGCTTCATACGGACTGCGGTAAGGAGCACAATCATATTAAAAGTTAGTAAATGTATAATCAGATCACCGGGGTGGAGGACGGGTCAGAATTCTGTGGAAAAGTTTTCTCTTTTAGGAGTGAAAATGCAGATGATTTGTCCTGGTTTATGGTTAAAGGAACTGTATGTAACCTGTTCTCTTACACTTTATTTTAAATCTATTACAGTCACAACTGAGACTTAACCTGCAGACTGACACATCCAAGTTTATAAATGCAATATTGCCTTTTTTTTTTTTTATTTATCAAAGATCATATTGACCCTGACTTTTCCCTAAAATTCAAACAAATGATCAGTTTTACCTTTTTGGGTTCTTTTTAAAGACAATACAGTAAAGTGTTTTTACCTTGTTGACATGTTTCTGCTGCTGCTGCATATTCAGAACTGTCCCCGGTGTTGGTGGTGACGTGTATTTCAGCTGTTGTTACTTCCTGTAGGTGTGGTCAGGTCACTCAGACTGACCACACCTTCCGTCGCCCGATGTTCTCAGGAGGAGGGTGTCCCAGGTGTGTGAAAGTTGGAACGCTCCGTCACCACGGTTAACGCTGTCCGTGCCTCGTTTCCTGATTTCCAGCGTTTAAATTTGTTGTTTTCCGATCCAATGACCCGAGCCCCGTCCCAATCCGGAATGTGGTTATTTCTTTTACCGTGGTCTGACATGGTGGATTGGAGATTTTCCATATCAGAGCACTGGAAAAAGAAATAACCACATTCTGGATTGGGACGGGGCTCGGGTCATTGGATCGGAAAACAACAAGTTCAAACTCTGAATCAGGGAGGACAGTGAAATCAGGAAACGAAGCACGAACAGCATTAACCGTGATGACGGAGCGTTCCTCCTTTCACACACCTGAGAACATCGGGCGAAGGGAGGCGTGGTCAGTCTGAGTGACCTGACCACGCCTACAGGAAGTAACAACAGCTGAAATACGACACGTCACCACCAACACCAGGG